CGGGCCCAGGTGCGCTGGGGCTCGGGCAGGCGTTGTGCTGGGATTAAAGCTGAAAGGATTCATCTCCCAGCGATGTGGGGCATGGAAGAGCGGGCAGAAGAGACATCGGAAGCCGCCCGCCCGTCGCCCAGAGGAACACCCTCTGCTGGGCATGGGGGGGGGTGGAGAGTCCTGACCCTCAGGCCCTGTCCTGTCCCCTTGGAATCCAGGCTACACGCTGGTGCCCCCTTTCAGGCCTCGGGGGAAGCACTCGGAGCTGCTCGTGGTGTCTGACGAGGGGGACGTGGCCACGTGGCAGAGGGGGAGCCTGTCCCTCCACTGGGCGAGCGCCCGGCACACCCAGACGGAGACGGAGGCCAACCACACCAGGTACGTGCAGCCCAGCGCCACCCAGGGCCCACGCCTCAGGTGCCCACGGCCTCTCCGCGGTGCCAGGATCTTGTGTGGAGAAGCTGTTAGGTCTAACCATTGAACTTACAAAGCACAGGGCACAAGGTTTGCAAAAACCGGTTCATTTATTCCCTAACGATTGCCGTGTGGAAGGAACTGCCAGCAGCTCCACGTGCGGGAGCAGCAGGGAGAAAACTAACCTCCGGGCCTGCAGCTGTCTGCACAGCAGCCCAGGCGGGGCCCAGGGGACCAGCGCCCCACAGCCCCGGGCATGGCCTGCTTTGTTGTTGTTGTGTGAGAGCAGCAGGGCCACCCAGCAGGCAGGAGGCGGTGCCCCGGGGCTGGGCTTAGTACGTTTCCCTGGGGGAGAGGCTGCGCACTTTCCTCAGCCTGCGGCCACCTGTCCTGCCGGCACTGCTCCCAGCAAAGCCTCCGCGGCATTGCTGTCAGAACTGCTGCTCGGCCTGTGGCAGTGCTTCACCCACCCGGCCGCTCCCGGGGCCACCGCCTCCCCAGCCTGCGCTCCCCGCGCTGCGGCCCGCGGGGTTCGGTGTTGAGCATTGGCCGTTGCCTGTCGCCCTGAAGTTGCTGTCACCCGCAGGCTGTCCTGCCTGGCCGTGTGCCTGGCCCTGGTGAGGCGCTGTGTGCACCTGTACGGCGCGCTGCCCGCCTTCCACGACCTCATGCGGCCGCTCCGAGCCCTCCTGGCGCAGCACCTGGCCGGCGGCCGCCACCCCCACGAGCTGCAGGTGAGGCTCCCAGGGCGCGGCCCGCTCAGCCTTCCCGGGTCGGGCCTGTCAGCGGCACTTGGGTCCTCGGCTGCACCCCGCAAGTCAGGGCGCTCACCGTGTTTGTGAATGAGGAGCTAAGTCAGTGCTGGGGGCCCCGAGAAAGAGCTGCTGCTGCCCGAGGCTGACTGGGGTGTAAGCCGAGAACTGTCACATCACCTCCCCACTGCCCACCGGGCCAGGTGCCCGGCCCTCCCGGCCACGTGCCAGCCGCCTCCTTGGGGACTGCGTACTGCAGCACGGCCACCCCAGCATGTGCTGTGGCATCTGCCCCGGGAGGTGGCCCGAGGACCCCTGTCCCCCTGCGGGAGGCTGCTGAGGTGGCTCGTCCCTTCGTTGAAGCCCGCCCTGGCTCTGCCCTGGGATTGGGGAGGGGGTTGCGCTCATACCTGCGCGTGGTCTCAGAGGGGACCTCCAGGCGGCCAGGGCTGTGCCTGCGGAGCAGGAAGCCTGCCTTCCGGGACCACTGCGTGGGGGAGGCGGGAACGCACGGCAGCAGGCTGGCTTCTGGAGAGCTCGTTGGAGCTCGGTCAGCTCCTGGAAGGCCAGGACACAGGCGCTCCTGTTGGAATGAACGTGGCCTCAGATCACAAAGCCCGGTCCTCTGCGTGCTCGCTGGGAAAGAAGAGCAGTCCTTGGCTCAGGGCTGGCAGCATAGGCTGCCTGGCAGAGCCCGCCCCCACCAGCAAGGTGCCGCTTCCGTCAGGGCCTCCCGCCTGTGAGCACAGGTGGAGCCTTCTCCTGCCAAGGGCATGTGGCCATCATTCCCGGGCCACACGACTTCGGCCTAGAACCACCTGCTCTGTCTGTCAGACACTGCATAGCTCACCCTGATGCCTCAGCAGCCAGGCCAGGCGATTTCTGTGTCCCGTATGATTCCTCACCCCGTTCCTCAGCGGAGGAGGGCGGGCCTGGGCGGGGTGGGCAGGTCCCTCCCTCCGCCTGAGGCTGCACAGCCTCCCGGGAGAGCTGGAGGCACCTGGGCCGGCAGCACGTTTCCTGGCAGGAGCTGTGTCGGAGCGCCCTGGCCGACATGGAGGCCCAGGAGAGGCGCTACCAGCCCCTGGTCTGCGAGAGGAGCAAGCCTGTGCCCCTGAAGCTGTTCACCCCCCGGCTGGTCAAAGTGTGAGTGCAGCCGCCTCCACAGGGCCCTCCGTGGAGCGCCAATATGGCACCCTACCCCCTAGCCCCCAACACGGTTCCTACCCCTAACAGCACCCAGCGCGAGGGGTCAGGTGTGGGTGCGGGCCCACCTGCAGTCCTGGCCTCACTCCGCCTCTGCTCTAGGCTGGAGTTTGGGAAGAAGCAGGGCAGCACGAAGGAGGAGCAGGAGCGGAAGAGGCTGATCCACAAGCACCGGCGGGAGTTCAAGGGCGCAGTGCGGGAGATCCGCAAGGACAACCAGTTCCTGGCCCGGATGCAGCTCTCGGAGATCATGGAACGGTGAGGCCGCCCCGTGGGCCGTGGGCGGGGAGCCGGCAGCTGCCTCCCTGCGCCGCGTCCTCCAGGGCTAACCGCGGGCCTCTCCTCTCAGGGACGCGGAGAGGAAGCGCAGGGTGAAGCAGCTTTTCAACAGCCTGGCCGAGCAGGAGGGCGAGTGGAAGGCTCTGAAGAGGAAAAAGTTCAAAAAATAAATGGTGGTGTCCTGTCTCTCCTGGACTTCTGTTCCCGTTTCAGCGTCTCCTGAACACGCCCTGAGAGCACATGCTGTGAACTAAAGGGGTCCATCGAGTTCAGACCAGCCTGTCGGTCACAGCCTGGGCTGAGGGGGACTGGCAGTCAATTGTACCTGGCTGTCGTTTTTGCCTTTGTGACTAGAATGCAGTGTTGTTTCACATTATAAACTATATTTTCAAAGTAAACAAGTCTTCGAACAGTCTAGAAATCAGAGAAGGAAGAAATCACCCACGACCGGCAGTCCCGAGGTTAGTCTGCCTGGCGCTGAGCTGAGCGCTGGGACACCACCCTGACCCCGGAGCTGAAGGTTAGGGCTGGGTGGGTTGGAAGACATGGAGTTTATGGTTAAGGTCACAGACCTGCAAGTTAAACAACAAAGAGCAGCGTTCTCACCCCCTCACTACCAGGAGCTTCCTGAGAACGCAGACTGTGGTGCTGCTGGCTGGCCCCACGGGCTTGGCCAGGAGAGAGAGCACCTGAGGGGCCGAGGAGGGGTGGTCTCAGCGTTTCCATGGGAACACGAGCTCTGATGGGAGGGTGCTGAGGCAGTGACCTGTCCCGGGTGAAGGTCAGAGGCTAGGAAAGGGAGCAGGGCCCAGCCGGGAGGTCGGCCAGACACCTCGGGGGATGTGCAGTCTGGTTTCCATCTGTTACAGGGGGAACGGCTGTAGTGAGGTGTAAGTGAAACTGCTATTTTCCTGATTTCGCTCTCCCGTATAATAATGGATAATATCAAAATTAACTGAACGCTGGGACAGCCAGTGGCGGTGGTGCACTGGCCACCAGGCAATGCGCCAAGGACGTCCACTCGGACTTCGGGGGGGGGGGGGGGGGCGCAGGCCCAGGTGAGGGACCCGCCCTGCACCGGGGTTAGTGTAAGGGGTGTGGCTGATGGCGCGGTGGGGCTGCATCACCTGTTGGCCTGGAAGGACTTCTGGTCCTAGAATCCCCTCCCACTTGTTTACGGCTGGGGTTGGCCACACGGGGGCGTGCCAGGCGCGTGTGCAGAGCTGCTCGGGCCGCCCCGGGCCAGGTGCCTGCGCCCCGCGAGGGCACCGCTCCCGCCCCGCCGCCCCCTGGGGCCCGTGGGCGTCACGGGTCGCTGCGGCCTGACCTCCGTCCCTTCGTCCTCACCTGCCGGCGCCGGGGCTTCAGACTCGGCACCCGATGCGGAAGGAACGGTCCCGCCGAGCCCGTGCGGTCACACCCACGTGTGGTCACACCCACGGGCCGTGCACACGCGCCGCGATGTCCGCCCAAGCCCGGCGCTGCCCGCGGTGACGGCTCGTCCCAGGCCCCGAAGCGGGACGCCCCACGGCCCGGCCGGGGAGGGCCCGCAGCCCAGCCCCCAGGGCGGGTCGCCCCCCGGGCAGAGGGAGGGGCGGGTGGACCGGCCCCGCCAGCCGTCAGCCAGCGCCGGGCGAGGGTCCGGGCCGCGACCAGCGTGCGCCCCGCGGGGAGGCCCGGCGGCCGGAGTCGGCGGGGTCAGCGGGCGGCGGGCGGCGGGCGGGGGCCCCTCGCGGGTAGACACTGACAGCCGCACAGACCGCGCCGCCGGAAGGCGGAGAGCGGCTGTACGTCACTTCCGGGGCGGGCTGGTGGGTGGGACCTGCGCGCCGCCCGCCCCCAGCGGCGCGCCTGGCGGTCCTTTCCGCATCCCTCGGTCCCGCGGCCTTCGGTCCGTCTGTTCATCCCGGCGCGGCCGCGGCAGGTGCGGGCGGGGTCCCGGAGTCCCGGGAGGCGGGGCGGGCGGGGGCTGTGTTCTCCCTCCTCCTCCGGCCTCAGTTTCCCTGCCCGCTCCGCACGAGGACGCGGGGCGGCTGCGTGGGACGCGGTGCCGCCCGTGGCCGCGATGCCTCCACCCCGGGCCCTTGGGACGGTTGGCCTCGGTGGCTGCGGTTTCCTTGCGCAACCTCCGCTGCCCCAGGGTCTGGGAGGCGCACCGAGGGGCCCCGTCTGCGGTGATGGGCGCCCCAGGAGGGTGGGCAGGCACTCCCTTTAGGGTGCTCGCTATGGTGTTGGGGCCTGGCAGGGGCAGGAGGACTCAGTTTCCCCCTTGGTAGGGTAGGTGTCGGGGCTGTGGTAGCCAGAGGTGCTGTGCAGACCGCCACACACCCCTCCCCACGGGATCGGAGCGCCCTCATCATGGACTCCAGAGCTGGTGGAAGCTGCACCCCGCGCCCACCCATCCGCCAGCAGCCGGCGTCCGAGACCCGCGTGGTCACTGTGGTCTTCCTGGGCCTCTTGCTGGACCTCCTGGCCTTCACTCTGCTGCTGCCCCTGCTGCCCGGGCTGCTGGAGAGCCACGGCCGTGCCCATGTGAGCCACTCCTCACCCGTCCACCCGATGCCTGACCCACGGTGGATGCCCACTCCCCGGCTCTCACGCTCCCTGTTCCCCAGGACCCTCTCTATGGCTCCTGGCAGCGAGGGGTGGACTGGTTTGCTGCAGCCATCGGGATGCCCGCAGAGAAGAGATACAACAGCGTCCTGTTCGGAGGTGCGGCCCTGAGCCCCAGGCTGGAGCCCCTGGTCCTATCTTCCTGGCCCCTCCGTCTTCCCTCCCATCAGCCAGGTCCTCCCTCCTCCACACCCCCTTCCTCCCGCACCATCTGCTCCCTCTCTGTCCACTCCATCGCTACCGTGGCTGAGGCCCATGGCCCGGGAGTGCTGGGCCAGGTGAGCAGGCCCTCGGGGACGGAGACGGAGGTGTGTGACCCTGACTCTGTCCTGCAGGTCTCATTGGCTCCGTCTTCTCAGCCCTGCAGTTCCTCTGGACACCGCTCACGGGCGCCGTCTCCGACTGCCTGGGGAGGCGCCCGTTGATGCTGCTGTCGCTGGTACGGGTGCCTCTGGGGTGGTACCTGAGGGGCCAGCAGCTCTGTGTCTAAGCCAGGCTCTGGGGACACTGAGGACACAAGCCCTTGGGTGCTGCAGAGCAGGGTAGGGACCCAGAGGTGCTGTGGGCCGCAGTCAGCCTCTCCTGGCCTGAGGTGACCGCACATCCCCTTGGCTCCTGCTCCGACAGGCAGGTCTGGTCACCTCGTACGCCGTGTGGGCCTCTTCGGAGAGCTTCGCCGCCTTCCTGGCCTCCAGGGTGATTGGCGGCATCAGCAAGGGGAACGTCAGCCTCTCCACAGCCATCGTGGCCGACCTGGGCTCTCCGCCCGCCCGGAACAGAGGCATGGTGGGTGCACGTGCTGGGGGTGGAGGGCCAGGAGGGGCTCCGGGCCTGGCCTCTCTCCGGACTCAGTGGCTTTTCCCCAGGCAGTCATCGGAGTGGCCTTCTCACTGGGCTTCACGCTGGGCCCCATGCTGGGCGCCTGCCTCCCGCTGCAGCTGGCACCCTGGCTCGCCCTGCTCTTCGCCGTCTCCGACCTACTGTTTCTCTTCTGCTTCCTGCCGGAGACCCTTCCCCCAGAGAAGCGGGTACGAGGAACCCAGAAACTACCAACAGGTCCCGGCCCTGGGGGTTCAGTTCCCAGGGCCTGCAGGGAGCCAGTCCCTGGTGCCAGGGGAGGCCGGACAGTCCTCTCCGGGTGTCCAGAGGCTCTTGGGGACACTGCCTCCTGGGGTCCCTGTGCTTCCCAGCCCCTGCCTCTAAGGCCTGGCAGATGGGGTGGCGGGTGGGATGGAGGCCAGGCTGCCGGTCATGCCCCTCCCCAGCCGCTCTGCCTAGGGATGCCCCCAGACCGCCAGCAGCCTCTCCAGTTCTGCCCCCTCCAGGCTCCCTCCCTTACCCTGGGCTTCCGAGCTGCCGCCGACCTGCTCAGCCCCGTGGCCCTGCTGCGCTTCTCCGCGGTGGCCCGCGGCCAGGACCCGCCCACTGGAGACAGTAAGGAGCGGCCCCCGGGGGGGGGCGGGGGCTCCACAGGCTGCTGTTGGCGGTGGACCCTCATGCCCTCGCCCGCTGCCCCCAGGGCTCAGCCACCTGCGCCGCCTGGGCCTGGTCTACTTCCTCTACCTCTTCCTGTTCTCCGGCCTGGAATACACGCTGAGCTTCCTCACGCACCAGCGCTTCCAGTTCAGCAGGTGGGAGTGCGGGCCCTACGGGACCCCACCAGTGCCACCCTGCCGCTCCCCATCCCCGGGCCCAGCCTAGGAACCCGGGGTGGGAGGGCTGTCAGTGGGTCCTCTGGCTCTGCTTGGCAGAGCAGGGCGCTAAGGCTCCGCCCTCCCAGCATGCAGCAGGGGAAGATGTTTTTCTTCATCGGCCTCACCATGGCCACCATCCAGGGCACCTACGCCCGGCGGATTAGCCCCGGCAGGGAAATTGCAGCTGTGAAACGGGTATGGGGCTCCCCTGGAGGGGGCGGTGTCTCCTGAGCTCGCTGGGCGCAGCAGGAGTGGGGCCTGAGGTCCACTGTCCCGCCGCAGGCCATCCTGCTGCTGGTCCCCGCCTTCCTTCTCATCGGCTGGGGGCGGTCGCTGCCTGTGCTGGGCCTGGGGCTGCTGCTCTACTCCTTCGGTGAGTGGGCCTGCCAGGGCCCGGGGGGTGGGGGGGCGCAGGGGGCTGGTGGCCACAGGCCCCTCCAGGTCAGAGCTGCCTCTCCTGGGGTGACGCTGCTCCCTCATGTCCCGTCAGCTGCTGCAGTCGTGGTGCCCTGCCTGTCCTCCGTGGTTGCCGGCTATGGTGAGAGGCCCTTCCCAACCAAGGCCACTGGGGTGGGAAGAAGCCAGCAGGAACCTTAGGGCCCCTCCTTCTCCCCTACAGGCTCGCCTGGGCAGAAGGGCACAGTTATGGGCACGCTGCGGAGCCTGGGTGCCCTGGCCAGGGCGTTGGGGCCCATGGTGGCCGCCTCAGGTGAGGCTGTGGGGCACGTGATGTGCCCTGGGGAGCCAGGCCTCAGGGGCTGCTGGGTCTTGGTGGGGGCCTCCCTCAGCTGCCTAGCCGGCTCCTGCCTCCTCCGTTCTGGCCACTTAACCCCGTTCTGGCCACTTAACCCCGTAGCTCAGTCCTCCCACTTGGTGGGGGGGGGAGGGGTGCGGCCGGCCCACGTCATTGCTTGGCTCTCTCCCTCCAGTGTACTGGCTGATCGGGGCTCCGACCTGCTTCACCGTGTGCTCAGGGCTCTTCCTGCTCCCCTTCCTCCTCCTGCGGCCCCCAGCACAGTCACTCAAGGCCGAGTAGCTGAGCCCGCCCAGCCAGGCCGGAGGAGCTGAGGCAGGAAGTCAGAGTCAGAGGCCAGGCCAGGCCCACCCTGCCTGCTAGCGCGACCCTCCCTTCCTCCTGGGCCCAGACAGGAAGTCCAGGGCCTGCAGCCCAGGGGGCGCTCACAGCCTTCCTCCCACTGGACGGGAGGCCCTGCCTGGTGCACACAGCAGGGTCCCGGACTCCAGATCTTTCCAGGCTTCCGGTTTGCTTGTTTTTCACTCTGGAGAACAGGCTGTCAGCCAGGCATGTCTGGATGACAAAATAAAGCAGCTGTTTTATACCAAGTGCCTCCTTCAGTACACAGCGTGCCTCGGCCGCCACCACACCCAGCTCCACTGACCACACGCTGTTCCCCCCTGCACATGGGGGTGGAGCCAGGCGCAGGGCCCTCCCAGAGGTCAGCAATGGCAGATGACCCCTGGCGGATGGATGGAGCCTTCTGCTGGGCTGCCCCTGCCACAGATCCTGGCCCCTCCTGGCTGGCTGCAAGGCCCCGCAGATGGTCCTCCCAGTCCAAAGTGGCAAATTGTGTCTCAAGAAATAAGACACTTGGGGTCTCTTGGGGGAGACAAACTCCTCGAAGTCCCACTAAAGAAAAAGAAAGGGATTAAAATGTAAAGCCACTCCGGTGCAGACAGGATACAGCTCGAAGAACTTTATTTGTGAGTAAAGCATGTTACAACGAAGCAAGGACACAGGGCCTGCCCTCCCGAGCCTGTGTCCTGTCTGTGACTAGGCTTCATGTTGATACAAAGTTAAACTACAAAAGTGAATTAAAGTCATTGCATATGGGTAGAGGCTGGTCAAAGGAAGAGAGTCCGTTAATGCAGGAGGTGGTGATTGGGGGTGGACACACAACAAAGTGGCACACAAGCAGCTCGCTCTCCTTAGCTCCAAGTGGACGTTGGCGCCATGCAGCCAGCCTCGGTCCTGCGTGCATGTGCAGTTTTGGGGACCTGAGCCCACGTCCAGCTCCAGGTCCACCTCGGCCCCCTCCCGCCAACCCAGGGGCCTGTCTGGGGTGGGCAGGCTGGCACCGCAGCTCCCGGAAAGCAGGCGCCCTTGAGGAGCCCACGTGGCCACCTCCCGCTGTCACCAAGCAGCTCCCCGCTGCTTCCGGGGGGCGGGGGGGAGGGGAGTGGGGGTGAGCAAAGACAAGTAGGCTCCATGAGTGACGGCTCGGAACCAGTGGGGCCACCAGGGCCGACGTCCGCCTGGAGCTCAGGCTGAGTTGGGGTCAGAGCAGACCTGTTTTACTCCTGCCCAAGCAGGTGAAGGGTGCTCCGAGGCAGCCAAAGTCGCCATTCATTTCACACAACGAAGGGTTGCAAATGTGCTGAAGAGAACGCTAGAAAAGACCTCCCTTACTGAGGCCCCTCCTTCTGGCAGGACTGCAGAGACCGGTAAGGAGGAGCTGGGATCGGGAGTGGCCGGGCGATCAGGTAGACCATGCACAGTTGCCAGGGTGTACAGGCCAGTCTGCTGCGGGTGCTCAGGCCACCTCTCCGAGGCCACCACGGTGCCCTGGCCGCTGGCAGGCACAGGCCTGTTTGCACAGGACCGAGGCCTTGTGTCTGTCTCTGGACAAGTGAGATCGCTGAGCAGATAACGCCAGCAGGAAGCTGGGAGTCTGCGTCAGTCACCTGAGACCTTGGGGGGAGGGGAGCAGAGCGTGGGTTACTTATGACAGGAGAGCGAGAGGGCAGGGCCAGAGCCGGCAGGGCCGCTGACTGTGCAGCCAGCGCCTGCCTGGACGCCCAGCGAACGACCCGAGGAGCAGACAGACGGGCAGAGGTGGACACAGGACGAAGCCTCCCGGCCCGAGGCAGAGGCCTGGCGCCAGGGGAGGCCAGAGGGCAGTGAGCTCTGGCCTCCAGGGGCCGGTCAGCGGGCGCTCTGGCTGGGTGAGGGGGCCGGTCAGCGGGCGCTCTGGCTGGGTGAGGGGGCTAGTGAGCGGGCGCTCTGGCGGGGTGAGGGGGCCGGTCAGCGGGTGCCTGGCGGGGTGAGGGGACTGGTGAGCGGGCGCTCTGGCGGGGTGGGGGGCCGGTCAGCGGGCGCTCTGGCGGGTGAGGGGGCCGGTCAGCGGGTGCTCTGGCGGGGTGGGGGGCCGGTCAGCGGGTGCCTGGCGGGGTGAGGGGGCCGGTGAGCGGGAGCTCTGGCGGGGTGACGGGGCCGGTCAGCGGGCGCTCTGGCGGGGTGGGGGGCCGGTCAGCGGGTGCTCTGGCAGGGTGAGGGGGCTGGTCAGCGGGCGCTCTGGCGGGTGAGGGGGCCTGTCAGCGGGCGCTCTGGCGGGGTGGGGGGCCGGTCAGCGGGCGCTCTGGCGGGGTGAGGGGGCCGGTCAGCGGGTGCCTGGCGGGGTGAGGGGACTGGTGAGCGGGCGCTCTGGCGGGGTGGGGGGCCGGTCAGCGGGCGCTCTGGCGGGTGAGGGGGCCGGTCAGCGGGTGCTCTGGCGGGGTGGGGGGCCGGTCAGCGGGTGCCTGGCGGGGTGAGGGGGCCGGTGAGCGGGAGCTCTGGCGGGGTGACGGGGCCGGTCAGCGGGCGCTCTGGCGGGGTGGGGGGCCGGTCAGCGGGTGCTCTGGCAGGGTGAGGGGGCTGGTCAGCGGGCGCTCTGGCGGGTGAGGGGGCCTGTCAGCGGGCGCTCTGGCGGGGTGGGGGGCCGGTCAGCGGGCGCTCTGGCGGGTGAGGGGCCGGTCAGCGGGCGCTCTGGCGGGGTGGGGGGCCGGTCAGCGGGCGCTCTGGCGGGTGGGGGGCCGGTCAGCGGGCGCTCTGGCGGGTGAGGGGCTTGCATTCCATGCACAGGAAGACACGGACGCGGTGCGGTTGGCCGGGCGTGCGGGCCTCAGCAGTCGCTCTTCTTCTTGGCCTTCTTCAGGAAGGAGGGGGTGCGGAACTTCTTCTTCTTCTTGGACGGGGACTTGCCCGGAGACCCGTCACTGCCTGGGTCTGCGGCAGCCCCCTCGGCAGCCGGGGAGGGGGCTTCCTCCGCCGCCGGGGCCGGGGCCGGCTCGGGACTGGCAGCCGTGGAGGACCTGGGGGGGCTGGGGGGGCCATGGGCTTCGCCAAGCCCCGCTTCCTCCTCCTTGTCCAGGGTCGGGAAGCCAAGCGCTTCGGAAGGCTCGTCGGGGGACAGGTCAGGGAGAGTGGGCTTGAAGGTGGCAGCATCACTGTCGTCTCGGAAAACAGCATCCTGCAGGTCTGGTGGGCGGCAGGAGAGAGGGGTTAAAGGGCACCGCCCAGGCCTCAGAGAGGGACCTCAAGGCGGGCAGCAGCCCGCACAGAAACGGCCACTGTAAAGACGCCAGGACTCTACCAGGACGAGGATAAGGAGCGTTAAGTCTCACTCTACGTCAAGGCTGGTATAGACCATCTTCGGGGGAGGGGACTCAGCTCCCTCTCCTGGAAGCATGCCATGCGAGCAGGGCACACTTCCAGCGCACTGACCTCCTGACACCTTGAGACGAGGTTTGCTCTAGACCCCGCGGGCACCACAGTAGCCCTGAACTTAAGCCTACATTTGGGTCCACACACCTGGTTCCCCCACGGAGGAGCCGTGGGAAACACGGCAGCCCCAGGATGCACAAGTAACTCCCCAACTGTTGCCACATCAGCACAGACACGAAGCCTGGTTAGAGGAGGACGTGGCCCATCAGGCAGGGGGAGGGCGGCAAGCAACCCCTCTGACAACAGGAACGGAAACAAGCACAAATGGACTTGTCTTCGAGGGCCTGAGGGCTGGGCTGCGGGAAGAGGCTCATCGCCAGGTTGGAGTGGAGAGACCAGGCGTGCAGACTTTCTAGGAACAGCCTACGACGTGACAGCGACTGGCAGGTTAGGAGCACCAAGCCTGTTCCTACGTCAACAGTCAGCTGCACCTCGGGAGGAGACTGGAGGGGAGCTGAGTCAGGTGACAGATACTGAGGGCAGGGCCCTGGGAGATGCCTGCCTGGGATCACTGGGCCGGGGCAGGGGAGGTGAAGCAGTCTGTAAAGCATGCAGAGGTGGCCTGTGGGGGCCCAGCGGAACCTTTATCATTGGACCGAATGACCCACTAAAACACAGCACCACCCTGGCTGGTCCAGTTCAGTGGACAGAGCATCGGCCTGCGGACTGAAGGGTCCCGGATTTGACTCCGGTCAAGGGCACATGCCGGGGTTGCAGACTCAATCCCCAGTATGGGGCGTGCAGGAGGCAGCCGATCCATGATTCTCACTCACCACTGATGTTTCTGTCTCTCCCTCTCCCTTCCTCTCTGAAATCAATAAAAATATATATATTTTAAAAATGGCCCAAATGTCGCTCTTCTGCCCCTGACGTTAATTTAAGCACATGGGACCGCAGGTGGCAACCCCACCTCGTCTAGACTGTCCGCCCTCCTGGCACTTACGAGACCCAGAGCTCTGAGCCTCGTCTAGACTGTCCGCCCTCCTGGCACTTACGAGACCCAGAGCTCTGAGCACTGCTGTGGGCCCTTGGGAGCCCGAGAGCAGGCTGCCCACTGCCACTCCAGGTGGCCGAACCCGTTCCCAGGCCACTGCCCGAATGAAGGACTGGGACGGGGGAGTTAGGGGAGGAGGGAAGGGGGAGACAATGCTTTTATTTTGAGTAAACAGAAAACAGAACGCAATAAGCAACAAAGAAGCAGAATGAGCCAAGCGCAGGAACCGCAGTACTTACTATGGTAACAGGTACTCTTTAGCACATCCTCCTGCTCGCCACGCAGCCACAGGAAGAGAAAAGCACAGGGAGAGAGTCTACGCATTCAGTCACAGCACCGGGTACAGAGGAGAATGGCCGAGCCATTCTTGTGGACACAGTGGGGTGGAAGGTGCGGCACAGGCTCCCGACAGACATGGGAAGCATGATGTATGAGACCGAGGGACAGACAGCAGGCCACACGCCACAGACACGCGGTGAGTGGTCTGAGAGGCAGACGGAGGCCAGCGCTCTCCATGGGCTGGTAACACGGCAGTCAAATGACATCCTGGAGCTCAGACACCACAGAGGACGTTTCGGAGGTGGAATCGAGCACAGGAAGGTTCGGGAAGTGTGCAAAGTGGGCCTCACTGACATCGTAAGTGAAGTGGGTTCCACCCCTGAAGGCCGTCCCCCCGTGACGTCTCACTGACAAACGTGTTTGCCTCAGGTCCCCAGGACAAGGCCCAACGGGGCGGAAGAGGCCGGGCCCAGAAGCACCCAGCACGTGCTGTGCTGGTTCCCACGCAAGGGCACACGTCCTCACCCCTGTCCGCTGCCACGCCTTCCACTGGACAGAACACGCAGCCCACTCCCCACCCCCACCGCGGGCACCCATCCACTCAGTGCTATGTGCCCTCCCGCACTGGGGCAGCCCAGGCCTCACCTTCCTCCAGCTTGCCGGGGGAGCAGGGGGCAGCCAGGGGCTCTGGGGGGCCGTCTTTCTGCTCTCTAGTCTCATCCAGACTCTCTGCAGGCGAGCAGAAGGGGAGAGGGCGTGGTAAGAGGCCGCCGGGAGCCTGCACCTGCGCCCTCCCAGGCGAGTCGGCCTACTCCCTCTGGCACTCCCTGAGGGAGGAGGGAGGAGTGTGCCCTGAGGAGCACTCTGCCCTTAGCCAAAGGCCTCCTGGGGGGCTCCCCGACACTCACCTGGGGGGCCCCTGTGCTTGCGCTCCACCTCCCGGCGGTACTCCTCCAGCTCGCGGTCCGTGAGCGTGTTGAAGGGGTTGGGGCCGGCGGTGCTCACGATGACGTGGGGCTGGTACTCCTTCTCAATAATGGCCTTGGAGGCCGTCACCAGCTCCCCCTGCGGACAGAGGAGGCTGGGTCTGCAGGAGCCCTGCCCGGACTCCTCCTCCCAGGCCAGGCCGCAGGCAGGGTGGGGCGGGGCACAGAGGCAGCCCTGAGGGTGAGGCTGAGCTGCAGCCTTCAGGGGCAGAAGACAGAGAAACACGACGTTGATGCAGCAACGGAGTAACTGAAACAGGAGAGAGGAATCCTAGGAAGCCCTCAGGATTCAGAAGCAAAGGCAGGAAGTGCAGACGGAGCGCAAAGAGCACCCCGAGGACTAGCCCAGGTCCTCACTGGCAGGCGGGAAGAGGGGGCTTGTAAGTCAATGCCCTCCCCACACGTCAGAAAATGTCACAGATTACAACACTCAGGTCAGGCATGAGAGACCTGCTTCCGTGCTAGGAGCACAGGGAAGTTCTGTTCTTCTGACACTGAGAGTAAGAACCCCCCTCCCCCGACAAAGAAAGACAATGTCTCCAAGCACTAGTGTTTGGGGAATTTGGAAAACAGAACCTGTACACGAGGAAAGAAAGCAAAGCTCTGTGAAGCACCGAGGCGGCACACAGACCAGCCCCATCTGCCAGGAGGAGGCGGGCAGGTCCGGAGGGCGGGAGCCAGGCGGGCTGAGTGTGGCACCACCCCGTCCCCTCGCGCAGCACAGCTGTGCCAGCGCAACCTGGTCAGCCCCAGTGCTCTGATGTTCACCTTGGAGAGAGTTAACTGGAACTCATGCACATGCCCAGCGCTTAATAAGTGCCTCCAAAAGTAACGGAAACCGGAGAATCCAAATCATCCTCATGTGCCGGGCCACCTGCTGCTCCTCTGCGAGGGGCGAGCAGCAGAGGCAGCCAGCGTCCCAGCAGTGGGCCCTGGACACACAGCCAGGCCGAGGCGGGGAATGGGTTCGGAGCGCCTGGAGCACTCCTGACTGACCACGACGTGACGCAGGCCCCAGGGACAGAAGGGAAGGGCTTGCTGGAGTCAGCAGCCTGTCACCCATTTGTCATCAGATTCAGGATAACCTGGCAGTCAGCTAGCCCTCTTTCTGAGCGGCCTGACCCAAGCCTGCCAGCTTGTCCTTCAGAGCAGCCCTGCCTGGCCAGGACAGGGACTCGCATCCTGCTCTGTGCTCGGACCCTTGGCCCGAGACACACCCTCTCCTGTCCGCAGGCCTGTGTAACACCCGCAAGGCCCGCAGAGCACCGACTCTAATCTCCGCAGCCTGGCTAGGCCTGTCCTCCTGTAGCCTGCCAGTGAAAGGGGAGGTGACGTGAGCTCTGAGAGAAACACTTTCCTTCATTCCAGTCAAATGTTCACAATCAGCAAAGGGAACAAAATACCAAGAACTGCCACCGAGATGCCCTTTCTGCCCAGGCCCCCTGGCCCTCAAGGGGCCGCACTGCTGGTTCCTGCCCCCTGGCAGGGCTCCCTCCTCAGGAGGGCCAGCAGCGTGAGGGAAAGAGCAATCCGGAGCTGCAGAGACAAACAGGCCCCGTGGGGAGCGAGCCCAGCTGAGAAGGCAGGGGTGCAGGAAGGGGCAGCTCCTCCAGCAGCCCCTGTGGAGGCTCGTGCTGCGCTCCTCCCGTCCGCCCCCCCACACACACACACCCGGGGCTCTAAGCACACAGATGCCTGTTCCTCCTGGCCCTGGGCTGAGGCATCAGGTTTGTTTGTTTGTTTGTTTGTTTTTAATATATTTTATTGATTTTGTACAGAGGAAGAGAGAGAGAGATAGTTAGAAACATCGATGAGAGAGAGTCATCGATCAGTTGCCTCTTGCACACCCCCTACTGGGGATATGCCCGCAACCAAGGTACATGCCCTTGACCGAATCGAACCTGGGACCTTTCAGTCCCCAAGCCTACGCTCTATCCATTGAGCCAAACCGGTTTCGGCAAGGCTTCAGTTTTCATCTGAAAAATCTACAGATCTGAATTTATGTTCCTTTTTTTGTTTGTTAATCCTTACCAAGGATACTTTTTTCCCAGAGCTTTCAAAGAGAGAGTGGAAAAAAGGAAGGAAAGGAGGAAGGGAAAGAGGGAGGGAGAATAAGAGGGAAGGAGGGAAGGAGGTTAGGAAGGAGGGAGGAAGGGAGGGGGAGAGAGAAAGAGAGAGAGAGACATTGATGTGAGAGAGATCGATTGGTTGGCTCCCACAGGTGCCCTGACCAAGGCAGAGGATTGAACCTGCAGCCCAGGGAATTGAACCCGCACGTGCAGGCAGATGCTCCAACTCCTGAGCCCCAGGCCAGGGCTAAATGCCCGCCTGAGAGCTGGGCCTGCACACACTGGGTGCTTACACCAATGCACTCAGGTGTGGCAGAACAGACATCTGGGCTGCACACCTGACGCAGCAGGACGGACGGTGCTAAGTGCAAATCTTCCCGCCCACCTCGAGACTCAGTTCACTGGGAATCAAATCCAGGGCAGAGTGACTGCCAGCCACCTCTGGCATGCACATGCTGAGTCAGGAGAGCCCTGGCTGGGCTTCCTGTCCCTTTGGGCGCTGGAGCACGGGGTAGGGCTAGTGATCGCTGCCCCCTCTCCTTCCAGAAGACCAAGGAGAGGTGGAAGCCAAAGGAAAGTCCGTCCTTCCAGAAAAGCCCCAACTCCCACAGCCCAGGCACCCGTGCCTCAGGTGCTCCATGGAGAAGCGAGCCCTCCACGCCTGCCTTCGGGAAAGGGAAGTCAGGGCACTGACCCACGGGCCTTCCACCTGCTCAAGAGGGTCAGTCTGCCGGTGAGCAGCGCCAGCTCTGAGCACTGTGTCTGTGCTCTGTGGTTCACACACAAAGACTGGAAACCACCCATCAGGGACATCAGAGGAGTCAAAGCATATGCTTGCCATCAAAATGAAATATGCTCCGTCATGGGAAAAAGACCAAGGGTGCAATGTGAGCACCTGGAAGAGAGTGGAGGGGAGAACAGAAGCAGACAGGAACCTGCACGGGGCACCTCCTCACTGGGCTCAGTGCCGAGTGGCTTTCTCTGCTGATCCTGCCTGGACAAGGCGCTCCCAGGTCTAGTCTGGTGCCCAGACTCGCAGAGGACGTGGGCTGTTCAGGAAGCCCACGCCCACAGCCAGCGGAGGGGCCCTGGCTACCCTCCATGAAGCCTCCTCACAGGGAACTGTGACGCACTCCCACGTCTGAGCACTGCTGGGCAGAGCCACCAGAACTGTGGCGGATGGGGATGTGCCAGAGCAGCAGCTAACTCCGCGGGCCAGTGTGCCCTCCAGCAGGCAGCCCTAAGGACACAGACAGGAACCACTAACGTAATTCCATGCCAGAGCTGGTCCAAATGTGCTCTGCTCAATAAGCTGCCAGGCTCAAGAACTCACACCTACACACGCCAAGATAAAAAGCTGAGAAACAAAGGTCGCCGAGCATGAGAAACAAGCCACGGCCGGAGGCCACCTCTCCCATGGCTACGAGGCTCCTCCAAGAACAGTTGCTGGAAGTGCATGGTAAGGACAAGGGAAAACAGGACCCACTGGAACAATACATAAATATGTAAAATACTGCCGTTAGTCAGGGTGCCAGACAGGAACACAGAGCCTGGTGCCAGCCTCCTCCTCCGGCTCCTGGGTGTGGTGAGGACACCTGCACTCCCTGGGGGGTGACTGAGCATTCCCCCGGGACACAGGCCCCTGAGGCCTCACCTGCGGTGCCCTCTGCCCTCGGCGCCTCACAGCTCAGAGCAGGCGCGCCTCCCCCGGCACATGGCGCAGGGGGACTTCCCACTACCGAGCACCTGAGGTACGCAGGTACAGGAGGATTGTCATTTGGGGTTTCAAATTCTCACAGCTCTTTCCTGCCCTTGCAACATTAAAAAAATTGTCGAGGTTTTTTTAAAGGTCAAAATAAAGACATTTCATCAACAAGGGCTAGCAAGAGACCGCCTTGCTTCATTCCCGCCCCTGAAATGTCGTTTTCACCTGCACCCAGTGCACGTTCCTATGTTCCCGGTCACAGCTGAGCAGGCAAGGGAGCAGGTGGCCCGGCAGCCCCCGGCACTAAGAGTCACATGCAGAACCTCAGAAGGGCACCGTCAGAGCCCAGCCAGGGCTCTCCCTCCAGCCCGGGCAGGAGGGCGGCACCTCCGTACGCTCACAAAGAGCTAGAGCCCGGGTGTGGCTCCGTCGTGACCGGCGACAAGGCCAGCAGGAGCAGGCAGGCGGGCGGCAGGCAGGAGGCAGCGCGTGCCACAGGTAACTAAGGGCAGGAGTACCTTTCTAAAGGGGAGACACTTAGCTGGACTAAAGGTCTGCTCTGTGAGCTCGAGCCCTTCGATTGTCTCCGTGCAGTCAGACAGGGGTGCGTCCTGCAACAGTAAACCGAGTCAGCAGAGCCCCGGCCCGGCCTGGCCGACCAACCGGGTGCACAGGATGGCGCGGCCGAGAGCATGCACAGACAGCGACGTCGCCAGGAAGGTGGCGGAGGAGGGGCCGCCGTGAGCAAGCCCAGTCCCCAGGACCAGGACTACCTGACCTGTCAGAGAGGCGGTGACAGTCACCTGCCCTGCAGGCTGTGCACGGTGTCAGAGGCAACTACAGACCGATGCCCGTCCAGGGGCCCGAAGGGCTGTCCTTTATAAAAATGTGGTCTCCATGGGCCACGGACAGGCACCAAGCAGCGCTCTGCTGCACAGAGCAACGTGGATGAGAATAAGCCTGCCAAGCCCGGAGCCCAGCACTTTAGTGTGCAGCACTCAGACCGGGCGTGTTGGTCCCCAGGCACCGTGCCATCCACAAGGCATGCACTGAGCGCTGGGGGGACACGCCCCAGGCATGCTGGTGCCCGGCCCACAACCCAGGGAGAGTGGCTATGATTCCGACCACAAAGCGTTCTCACAGAGACTGGTAAGAACCACAGAGAATTCCCAGTGCTCACCTGGACGAGGCTCCTGTCCATCACCACACCGCACAGCACCTGCGACTGGGGGCCGGCCGTTTTAATGTCCTGCAGGTTCTGCTCTCGGATCTGAGGAGGCAACAAGGAGGAACACGTCACACATGCCCACGCCTCCCCGCTCAGGACTGCCTGAGACCGTCCCCTTCTGGGACGCGGGCAAGCATGCACTCACTCGCGGGGCACACTCCCTTCCTGTCCCTCTTACCGGACACCATGAGCAGTCCCCGATGAAGGCTCTGCAGACTGCAGCCCTGCCTGCCACTCCCAGGCCACAGGTGCAAAGCACACGCGTACAGTGGGGCTGCAGCCGCGTCACAGGGCAGCAGCAGACCTCAACCTGACTCGCTCTGCCTGCAGCAGCCAGCACCCGCCCGCCCACAGCAGCCGCCGCCCGCCCACGGTACGCACCTTGTTCCTCATCTCCTGCACCTCCTTCGGGTTTGTGTTCAATGGAACAAACAGGTTAGGGACAGCAGAGGTGGAGGTTCTATGTCCATCCTCTTTAGTCCACTGTAACATTAAGAAGAGTGAAAATGTCAGAACTGGGACGGCAGCAAGTGACACCAAAGCACCCAATCTGTCAACTGATCTCACATCTGGTCATGCACTGAGCATCACAGAGGATGAACCAATGACCGCATCCTGTGCCGCCGCAGCAGCTGAAGGGGACAGGAGGCATGTCCAGACAGAAACCCGGAATGGCGGAAGCCAGAGTCCTGATTGACCGGCCAGAGCCATTGAGAAAGCCCCGCGGAAATGTAGGGCCTGACTGGACTGACGGCAGAGCTGAGCCCCTGACTCCTCAGACTAGCCAGCGGGACCCTTCAGAGCCCATTGGTTCACCGCTCTGAGCAACGTCACCCCAAAGCCAGCGGGAAGCATGAGATGACAGGTCATGGAAAGCAATGTGACGTGCTACCCAGAGGGAAGGAAGACTCGGCATTGGAAGGCAAGAGTGGGCATCACCAAAGGTTTGCATTACAATAAACTACGGCATCAGAATGCACTGTGTGCGCAGCTATTTCAACCCAGGAACCTTGCTGCATGAACGCGTATGCACCTGCTGGAGATCTGGTGATGTCGCATATTTTATGTAACGTCACGCTCTGAGTGTTACAAAAATACCCACGGGAGCCGGAAGCGCGTGACCCTTCCCAGCAGGCCGTCTTAGGTGGCGGGCACTCTGCCAGCACCCTGCGCCTTCCCTTGGTTTTTTGAATTTCCAATCGATGTGACCGTTTTTTATCACCTTGTAATTGTGAGGAGGAGGCGGCGCTGAGTGTTAACGCAAGCCCTCCTTCCAGAGCAAACGCTATTGTTTTCAGGGGGTTCCAAGAGGCACTAAGAGAGCCGTAACCGTAAGACCTGGAAAAGCAACGAGCGGTGCTCAGCCACTGCGGGAGCGGATGGGCGTGTGCTGGGAGGTACTCACTGATGGCATCTTCGCTTAACCCACTCCAGCCTTTCGTTAAAGACAGTCCCGTCACAACATGAGCACAGCACCTCAGGAGCTTGGCACTAGTACTGTGAGTGAACATACCCACCTGGGCGCAGGCACGGTGTGTCAATCCAGAGCAAGAAACACATCGCGAGCTGCCCAGGCCTCCCTCCACGTCACACTGACTAACACGGGACTCACTGCACAGTTCTCACTCTGAGAGCACATGGAGCTCAAGCTGCTGCCACCCCCACCCCACCCCCCTTACCCCGCCGGGAAACGCAGCACGGCCTGTGGCTCGTGTACTGACAGCAGCGGAGTCGTTCGGGCCCATTCCCCGTAACAAGCAACATCAGTAAAAACGAACACAGGCCACGAGAAAAGGAAAAAGGGAGAGAGGGGCAGAGGGGAGGGGGGCAGGGGTGGAAGAGAGGAGGCCGGGCTCGGCGCTGAGCCTCTGCCGGCGTGGACGGCATGTGGGCTCCGGGCACAGAGGCGCTCACCACTGTGCGTCAGGAAACGCCAGCCACCTGGAGGACAGCACTCCGACACGTCTACAAAGTAAGAGCGTTATGAGGGAGGAAGCCGTGTGCTGCCTGGTGCCATCTCTCCGGCACTGCAGACAGTGCGGCAGTGCCGCTTCCGTGTGCGCGCAGGCTCCACCGCGGAGCCCGGCTGCCGGGCCGGGTGAGGGCCGTGAAGACCGTCTCCACAGAGGGTCTGAGTGCCGGACCTCGAGGGCGGCTCCGGGCCGGTGAACACGGGCTGAAGCACACTGGCAGCAGCCCTCTGCCGCTGTGCCCGCGGCGGCCTGCGCTGCACTGGGGCCATGCCGCCCCGGCAGGAGTCAGCAGACTCTCCGTGACGGCGGTCTACTCACATGCACAGTCCATGCAGGAGGCGGCTGCTGGGCGTGTTCGGAGGCTTTGGGACAGAGAGGGAGCTAACAAGGGAGGGCGGCCGGCCAAGAGCAGGCCGGACCCAGAGAAACTGCTTAAGAAAGCACTGGAAGTTAAAGAGCAGGGAGTGACCCACTGGACCACACAGTCACAGCACTGAGCACCAGGCTGTGACCGCACTGCCTTTGGGCATGAAGCAGGAGGTGCCTGAGGACAGTGAGCTCGCTGGGTTTGGGTTAATGCCTGTTAGTTGGACCTTCACTACGTAGGCACTAGGTGAAGCGAAATCACTGGAGAGGGACAGCATCTTAAGCAGTTTCGAGTGGACAGTAGTACTGGTGTTACGGCTGATGCCTTGAGATGTGGGTTCAGACACAGGCTAAGGGCAGGAGCCCGTAATCGGGGTCAGAGGGCTGGTTCCCAAAGCCTCCGAAGCCCAGCGGCCCCACTTGCTCTACATCATCTAACTAGGAACAGTAAGGTAGGCACAGACCAAGCAGTTGGTAATACAGCTTGGCACGCAGACACCGGACGAGAGAGACTGCAGCAAGGGTTTCACGTGATCGTGTGTAATGTTCGTCCACACCTTAGTCTTCGACTTGGGGCTGCTTCCGTTCTGCCCTTCCTCAGAGGCATCGTCACCCCGGCCAGAGTTCAGCCATCTTGTCTTCTCTCGTTGCTGCTTCTGAAAACTGTGTCTGAGAGGAGAGCAAGTGCCCGAATCGCCGTCACTAGCAAAGGAGTAGCCGGTGACGCTAGCGGGAACCTCCACGTCGCTGTACTTCTTGGACTTCTCTCGCAGGGCCGGGTAGCGGTAAGGGTAGCCAGTCCTGTAGCCCTGGAGGCCAAAGAGGATAGACGGTCAGTACTCCCTTCTCAGCACAGCCCTCCTCAGCGGTCGCTGTGGGCAGACAGACACCTCAGAGGCTGCATGCAGGCGCCTATGTCTCAACAACCACCCCCCAAATACAAGCCCAACCAAAACGCGAACACGCTCACCAAAACCAAGGCCCTGATGCCGACTGCAGCGCCAGTGCTTCCAGCCTCACGGAACCCACCGGAAGTCCGTCAGGGCGGGAGGCATGCTCACCACGGACTGGGGTACTGAGAGCAGACTGGAGCGGCACGAGACGGACGCTCTGCCCCAGGTGAGCCTGAAGTGGTGTCGAGGGCGACACCCCGTGGGAAAGGGGGCGCCGCCTGACCCCATTTACCAGGCTGGAGGTGTCACCCTTGGGCAGGTAAGTGCCTCACAGGGGGACGAGCCTTCGAAGGGCTGGCACTAGTTTTTGATTGGATGTTGGTTCCAACCAGTTTTTCAAACTAATAAGCTGATACTTGCAGAGGTGCACTCTCCTGTTTACTGTATTTCCACACAAAATCTAAAGTTACTTGCAGTTGGCGACAACACAGCTTGTACTAGTCACCCTGCCTAATATTTTTGCCTTTGAAGTGTTGGGTTAGATACCATGACAAACTCAGGGAGACCAAAAGGCTCCTCATGACAACTGGTTCTGGCAAGATTGCTCACTAGACGTTCAATTCACACCCAGACTCCGCCTCACAGCCATTCACTGCTGTGAAAAGTGTCCCTTAACTCGCCCCTGGGCAGGACCAGCCTGTTTCTGGCCCCACAGGCAGCACCCCGAGGCCAGGGTGGCATCAGCCTCCTGTCCCACTAGCTCGGTGATACACCATTGCCCCACCTCCTAAAGGGTCCTCCGTGCCGGACTGGGATGGGCCTGTGACTGGCTTCTCACCAGTGGGACTTGCAGGGGGACAGGATGCATCAAGTGAGTGTGGCGCCCATCCTGAGTGTGTACATTTCGATCTGAGAAAGCTGCCATGGCCACTGCAGACTGAGGGCCACCGCCTGAGAGCCTGGCAGTGGGGCCTCCCAGAGCCCGGCCCAGCTGATGCCCTGACTGCTGGCAGCCTGTGGGCTCAGCCGCCCCTGCACTGTGGACCCACAGCCTCGCATCTGGACAGTCCTTCCCGCCGTTTCATGGGAACCAGAGCAAGGGGCCAGCAAGGCGGGCAGGGCTGGTCAGAGCGGGCCCGCACCGCTGGCCGACACGCCAGAAACGTGCACGTCCTCTCAGTGCAGGGACTCCCTCTCCTCTGGGTGCTCCTTCCCGTGCAAGGTCAGAGACGGACTAGAGGCATGCCCGCCCGCCCCGCTCTCTTCAGTGCTGCTGCAACCTCGCTGGGATGCCCACCTCTGCCCAGCTCGGCCTGCCGATGTGTTCCTACCTGTCCTTGGAGGTCATTTCCAAGTGCCGCCTTCTACCTATAGCGTTCTCCCTGATGTGTGATGTGAAAAGGATGAAGGCCCTCACTGAGACCCGCACTCCGGCAGACCACATCCTGCCAGGTCCGCAGAAGCTCTCTCACGCCAGAGCCCCCCGCATTGTGTCTGGGCTCGGGCCCCGCACTCAGGACGAGGCACACAGAGCATCAGTAACTGGCCTCCAAACAGCTAGACCTTCCTGGTAACTCAAACAACAACCCCTGCCGACTGCGCTGGAAGGCCCTGGAAAGCGGAGTGTGGGCGAAGGTGCTGAGCCCCCTCCGCCCCGGAGCTAGGTACCAGCAGCCTGCGGCAGAGCAGGCCGTGTCCGTGCTGTCCCCATGGAGCCCAAACAAGGTCATCTTAGGAAGCACAGACAGACAAGAAATCCTCCCTCCACGTCACGGTAGCGTGCTGAGCAGCGCTGCGGGGATGTTTCAGGAGCCAGCGCGCGGACCCTGCCTGGGAGAGCACCTGCCAGCGCCAGCTCCCTGGGCCCAGCCCAGCGCTGCGCTCTGGAAGAACCTCACACCAGTGGCACACCGCTCTTACCAGGTTGTCGAGCATCCGCATGAGGGCTTCGAACTCCTGCTCCCCGATCAGCCACTTGGGCGGCGCGGTGCTCTCCCCTGCTGGGGCCCCCGGGGAGCGGGACTTGGCTTTGTATTTTCCCGGATCCAGGAGGACTAAGTTGTCCGGCCCTCCTGAACTGGCCAGAGTTCGGACCTTTTCAAAACAAGCAAACGTTACGGTCTGAGCTCCTTACTGAGAGCACAGATGACTGTGAGAAATCACGTACACGGAAATGTCAAATCCCTAAGTGTAAGAATGAGAAATGCAGAATGGACAGTAACAGACTAATCACAAGGTTATGTTCAGCCCTGGCCAGGTAACTCTGTTGGTTAGAGCATCACCTTGACCCACCAAGGTGGTGGGTTCTATTCCCAGTCAGGGCACATACAAGAATCAGCCAATGAATACATAAATAAGTGGAACAAGTCCATCTCTCTTTCTCTCTCTTGTTCTCTTGCTCTCTCTCAATCAATATTTTAAATGAATAAATAAACCCATAATGAATGTTTTAAAAATAAGGTTATTTTCAGAAGTTTTTCTTTAGCCTGAAAAAAACACTGGGCCCATATACTTGGAAGAGAAATGTCAAATAAAGTACTTTTCAGGAGCCTATGAAGCAGAATGGGGAAGGCACGGCGGCACAGACGCCAGTGAGGACAAACTGGGGGCTGGCAGCACTTGCCACCGAGTGGCGTAAGTGGCACTTACAGCCGTGAGACTGTGGCAAGCTTCGAGCTCTCTGCGCCTGTTTTTTCGAAAGGAATGCCATGAGGGTCAAATGAATGCCGTGCAATAATGTATATCAGGTAAGCACCCGATACAGGGGTCGGCACACACTGTATCCACAGTACTCCGTAAGTTAAAAAAAAACACACCACCATTTGGAAAACTAAACCAGTGACATGGCATTTGCCCTGCTCTATGTCCAAGCCCAGGAGCCCAGGGGAGGCAGAGCTGCGTAGGACTCCTCCTGCGAGCCAGCACCCGCGGTTCTGAAAGCCCGCCAAGCCCCGATCAAGCGCCGACGGCACGCAGCACCGACCTGGATCTCACATGCCACCACGAGGTTGTGGATGTAGTAGAAGGCCTCCTCAACGCTCTCGCCGACCGACACCAGCCCGTGGTTCCGGAGGATGAGGACCTGAGGGAACACGAGAGCCCGGATGCCTTCCCCGCCTCCTCCCTCCACCGTGGAAACGCCAGCTCACGTGCCCACTGACCTTGCTTTTAGGACCCAAATTTTTCTGGATTAAAACCTTCTCCTCTTCATCAACCAAAATCCCATGATAATCATGGTAAGCCACTTCTCCGAGGGAGAGGGCCTCCGGGGAGATGGGTAGGAGCCCGCATTTCATGGCGGAGACCTGGAGAGCAAGCAGGCACAGTGAGAAAGCCCTCGCTGGATGAGGACAGGGTCATTTCTCTCCTTGAAGAAATGGAAAAGGAACAGAGCTAACTTTGTTCTCTTCTCAGAAATAAATGAGCCCCTGAGCTTACAACGTACTCTGGGTCTGAGTGCAATGCACAGTTAGGCAGGCAGCGCTCACTAAGCTGGGAGGGCCAAGGAAGTCCCCATCCTCCTGGACCTCCACACTGACGCCAACGCTCTGTGAGCTCAGACTGAGTGACAAGGGGAGCCCCGGACCCCTGAGGACAGGCATCGGCCTCCTCTGGACGCACCAGAGAGCACGGCAGCTCTACAGCTGTGTGTGCAGGTTAGACTGCAGGTGGGACCGAAACACCTGATAATCAGATAAGAGCAAATTTGTAAAAGGTTAGGATAATTATACTGTACAATTTCTTTACATTTATTTAGGTAAAAAAAAAACACACAAAAAAAAAACACAAACAAACAAAAAAACCTTAACCTTGCAGGTGTGGCTCAGTGGTTGAACATCAACCTATGAACCAGGAAGTTGCATTCCTGGTCAGCACATGGCTGGGTTGTGGACTCAATGCCCAGCAGGGGGCAGGCAGGAGCAGCTGATCAATGTTTCTCTCCCACTCCCTTCCTCTCTAAAATCAATTTTTTAAAAATGTAAAAAAGATAATACCACAAAAAAGGCAATATAATATTTAATTTCTTTTACAGTATCAGCTTTAAAAAACTTCCTTACCTACAAGAAGAAATTTCCTTACAAAGTAAACTTTTGATAGTTTTTGAAATAAATTACATGGTAGTTGCTTATAGCTATATTCTCAAAGGTACTTCTCTAATGGTTCTTGGGTTTTAAGAAAAAATTACATCCTTCAGAGAATGATATATTTAATAAAACTGATGTTGACATCAAGTACCACTTATTCAAAGTAAAATAAAGCAGATCACTCACTCACTTAAACAAACCAACATACATGACATTCAAACATCAAGAGATTAAAAATCAAGCCCTAGCCAGTTTGGCTCAGCGTTGGCCCTCGGACTGAAGGGTCCCAGGTTCGATTCTGGTCAAAGGCATGTACCTCAGTTGCAGGCTGGATCCTCCTCCGTCGAGGGGGAGGAGGGGGAAGGAAGGGATATGCGGGAAGCAACCAATCAATGTTTCTCTCTGTGTGTCTCTCCCTCTCCCTTCCACTCTCTAAAAATCAATGGAAAAATATCCTCAGGTGAAGATGAACGAAAATAAAAAATAAATTTTAAAAGAATATTAAAATTCAGCATTATTGAGTCAATTAGATCACCTATTATACAAGCAAGGCCATGAAGTCACTAAAATATGAGATGGTGATAAAAAGCCAGTTCCAGACAGTGTTCCGTTTTCACAGGACTGTCCACGCTCCTGTTCAATCTGAGAGGTCTAGGGCTTTGCTGGGTGAGCCGGGCACCCAGCGGGAGGCAGCCGGGTGACGGGCTGGGCAGGCCCCTGGAGGGCTGTGGGCTTGGAGGCCTGCTCTCCACAGCGGGCACTCCTCCCCAACTGCCGCCTTCTGACTTCCCGTCATGATGCCGCCCAGGGTCCGGGCTCCTCCCCAACAGCCCATCAGCACCCTCCAGGCCCTCGAGTCCCACTAACCCCTTCTGAGCCCACAGCACCCTACTTGCCACCCCTCCTGCCCTCCCTCTGCTCTAACAAAGGCTCCAAATGTACTGGTCGCTCTGCGCTTCCCCCAGTGTCCGCACTGGGATCTGCCTCCCTGTCACCACGCTCTGATTTTCTAATGGAAATTAATGGCATCTTCAGACTCACGAGTTTCTCAGTAAATGGACCCCTTAAAAGAAAAAGCATTTAAAAAAGCCAAACTAGTGAGTAAAAAAGTTTTTAATCCAACCAAGTTAGGTCTAAGGACTTATTTGCAACAAGAGGCACTTCCGGGGCAACGTGCAGAGCCTCTCACTAAACAGCGTCCAAAGGGCAGCAGGAGCGCGGCCACTCACCGCGGCCCCTGCGGGCGTGTGAATGTGGACCACACACTTCACGTCTGGCCGCGCGGCGTAGATGGCGGAGTGCAGCGTGAAGCCAGCTTGATTGACGCCTAGATTAGTGCTCCCCCGGTCTACGACATCTCCCTGCAGATTGATTTTCACCTGAAAATAAGAAAACAAAAGTTATCAATGTCAAAGGACTTCAAATTACCCTAGCTAAAATCATTTAAACTGAATGTTAGTGTTTAGAACCACTTAGAGGTTCTCTATGGCTCACAGGATTAGAAGGGGTTAGAGTCTAAGTGCATCTACACAGTCAAGATGCCCACGAGGGAAGGACAGTCTTACCAAACTGGATGCAGTCACTTCACTGTAGAGAAGCCCAAACGGTACAATGAGGAACTGTTCCTGCTCGGAGCTCACTCTGGTCTGTGGGGACATGACTGAGTTAGAGCAAAATTCAACAGAAATGACTGGTTCTCTTTGAGGCCACAAACACCCAGGCTTGTCGAACATCTATACAACACCGAGCTTCTATGCAGTCTCGGGTCATGTATAGGAAGTACATCTTGGTCACCATGATAACCAGCCAATGGCATGCACAAAGACAGCCATTCCTCAGGAACATGACAATGAGAACTAAAGCTTACTTTTTAAAAGTCTAACAGACCTGTTTCTAGAACTCAGAACCGGTAGGACAAGGAGCAATTACAAAACCACAAGCAGAGAGTGCTTCCTGCTGCCTGATCACGTTCAGAGCCTCTGCTGGGGAGCAACATTCCCTCAGGTGGATGCTAATAGCTGAGCCGCTTCCCACCTACTGTTGGACTCCATAAGGGTTTCAGTTTTGCCCACCTGGCGTGGCTCAGTGGATAGAGCATCTGCCTGTGAACTGACGTCCCAGGTTTGATTCCGGTCAAGAAGAGCACATACCTCAGTTGCAGGCTCCTCCCCGGCCCAGACCCTGGTCAAGGCACATACAAGAGACAACCAATCCATGTGTTTCTCTCACATTGATATTTCTCTGTCTTTCCCTCTCCCTTCCACTCTCTATGGGAAAATCTTATAATATACAATTTTCTGAGTCTGACGCAGAGAGAAAGTGCTAAATACAGATGCAAAGCAAAAATAGGAAAAGAACATTTCTGTCACTTTTCGGTCCCGGTGGACTAGTGCCGGCTTTCCTACATGTCCTGCACATGTCCTTCTGTGTACGGAACAAACCTAATGTCACACATCTTAAGGTCACTCCCTGGAAGTCAGTGTCTCTGGCAAAGATAGCCATCCCGCCAGAAGCACAGTGCACTGGCCACAAAGGTGGGCTCCAGACCACGTTGGAGCTGAGCCAAGACAAATGAAGGGGTGGAAAAACCCTGCCCTCAGCCAACTGCCACCGAGAGAGGAAACCCAGCCTGCATGCTAATTGGGCCACCCTGTCTCCTGACACCAACTTCTTTAAATCCAATGCGATCTTAACACAGATCTCATTCAGACAATCTAACCCTCTAACACCTGTTAGCATTTCTCAGTCTCTTTAGCAGAAAACCCTATGGTACTTGTTCAAAGAAAGGGCACAATGATCTGTTAGCACCTTTGATTACAATGATAAACACTGCTAATAGTTCTTTTCTGTTAAGTGTCTATATGATGACACCTAATTGTAACAAAAAAGGATGCCATAAATAATTTAAAAGCAAACTTTTCTCTCAATTTAATTTTTACTCAGTATTTAGCCCCAAAGTCCCAAATAATTAAGATGGGGGCAAACGAAGCAATTCAACCTTATTTACATAATAGCATTCATTATAGGACTAGTGGCAAACATTTTTTAACTTCCAAAGAACAAGACGATGCTATTAAAGCCAACGACCCCATTTCCTATCACAGCTGTAACATTTCGTGGAACTAACTTTCAGGCAACCATTTCACAGTACATCTCTACACCGATGCCAGCCCCTTCCTCACAGGCACAGGAGCAGAGCTGGCAGCTGTGGCGGGCTAACTGGACCCACGACCAAACACCAAAAGGGCCGTGGAGTTCTGGGGAGGCCTGGCGGGGACAGACCAGGCCAGCCAGGAGTTTCCTGCAGTGATGCATCCAAGAGGACACGTGTGTCTACTGGTGCCAAGCAGTTCTTGCTCCTGGGCACACACAGCACAAGACACCAGGGACTCCTCAAGGAGCTGATCCAGACCGAGGCAGGTGTGGATGATGAACATAAATGTACAGGATGGCTGAGGTCACTGTTTCGGGGAGAAATGAAGAGGATGAGGTGGGGTGGCATTCTACGAACATGACAGTGTGGACACGACAGGGTCAGGCTGCCGGAAACCAATACCAGCATGTAATAATTACAAGAGTTCCACCAAACGGTTGGTGAAGCTTGGGTGTCTCAATAAGGGTGAGCCACATATGTAGTTTACCTGTTGGAAACGGGTAACTGGCACTTTCCCCAAACCTGAATAGGGTAATTGTTAACTGCCAGACAACTCATGGCATTTTATGGCCTCCTGTTGGCCAAACACCTGAACAGCTGTAGGCTATTCCCCAAACTGACAATATCCTTTGATATCCTATCCTTAAAAAAAAGACTTTTTTAAAATGCCTCGGGATGCGGGACAAATTGTTAAAAAGCGGGACGTCTGGTCACCTTACCCAATGCTTTTCAAAATTATCTTTCATTCTTGGACTCCTTCTTAATCATCTACACATCAGTCCCTTTCTATAGATTGCTGAACACTTTGTAACGCTGGGAAATGAACCCCGGCATTAGGTTGGCATTTTGAGAAGTTCACTTTAGTGGCCGCATGGAGAAGAGACAGGAGGGTATTTGGTATCTCTGGCAAAGACCCCTAACCCGTCCCAGCAGCACAGTGCACTGGTGGCAAAGGTGGGCTCCAGACCAGCATCTCCAAGATTTAGTGTTCCTCAGAGTCCAGACTGGAGCTGAACTAAACACCACAGATGGAGTCCACAAGTAAAAACACCTCCGCGCGTGTGTGTGTGTGTGTGTGTGTGTGTGTTTGTATGTGTGTGCGTGTGCGTGCGTGCGTGTGTGTGCCCACGCGCACGTGTGTGTGTGTGTGTGTGTGTGTGTGTGTGTGTGTAGTGTGGAGAAAAGGGCAAAACCATCTGAATGGCTGCTAGCACTGTTGCTCAGGGAGAGAAGAGTATTGGCAGAGTTACAACTCCTCTTTAGCCATCTGTGTAAGGAACACTTGTTACTATAAGCAGGAACTATGTAAATAATTTAAAATATCCAATTAAAAATAAATGAAAAAACAAAGACTGGAACAGGTTTAAAAGTCAAAGGAAGAAGACAATCGAAGAGGCTACCTCCACAAAAGAAAAAAGCAAACAAACACCTGACAGTGCATTAGGAATCGGAGGCAAGAGGGAATGGAATTGCAAGGCCTGAAGTCTGGGCATGCGGGGGACACTGAGCGGTGGTCAGGAGCAGAAACACATCGGTAAGGAGTCCCCATTTTCTCTATGACACCACAGTGTTGGGAGCCAAGTCCCCTACCGATCTGAGAATCGCGGGATGGAGCAAGGGTAGGAAGCCCTGCCTGCTCTCCCCCAGGAGTCGGGTCACTTGGGGACGTGGCAAGCAACAGTGTCCTTCGTTCTGCTGTGCGTGCAAAATTGGAATCTGCAAACATGTCCTTGAATTAACATAACAGAGTACAGCTGGATGAACTTTCCCAGGCAGCTATCTCCCTGTGTAGGTCTTAAGGAACTGGCACTTAGCCATTATGCCCTGAGAAGGCCATTTGGAGGAATGCCCAGCTTTAGGGTATAAGAGAGTTTGCGCCTTTAATAAACTTGCTGCAGTGCCATCGAGCATTCCAGCCCTCCTGAACCCCCGCTGTTCCTGTCTTTTTCTTTTTTCTTTTCTTTCTTTTCCTGAGCCTCCTAGCCCGATCTTCAGGACCTGCAGTACCGGCTGGATCCAGTACCACAGGGTCACCTGCTGGCTGAAGGAGGTCAGGAATTTCAGAGTAAAAGAGCAGGAAATCTGAGTGAGCCTGAGAGATGGCTACCTACAGCAGCCAGGCAGCGGGAGGGGTCCCCTGGAGACCAGGGTTGCAAATGCATGGAGTCGGCCAGTGGCTCTGCTGTGAGGCTCTCTGCAGGCAGATCTGGCTGCTTGGGTCCAGGGAGGGAGAGGACGGTGCTGACAAAGTGTGCCTGAAGTGAGGACCGTGCATTCCAGCTGGACAGCACAGGGAGTGAACACGGCAGACTGACCGACTGCAGAAGGAAAGATCCAGAGGCAGGGCAGGTTTCATTCAGTGATGGAACCCCAGAGTGAGAACAACGCTTGGCACAGACAATAAATGTTTACAGCAGACGCCGAAAAATACTGATTGTAAGAATGAATTGAAGAAAATAAAGGTCCTGATAATGTTGGGAAACGGCTAAACCTAGAGTAGCTAAAGAAGTAAAATAAGAGATGGAAAGAATATAGCTTCATTCTTAGGTTTTCAAGCATAAAAAGATCTTTAAAACTGCCTGTATTTGGAAAACACTCATTTTTTACAGAGAAGAAGGGAGAGGGATAGAGAGCCAGAAACATCGATGAGAGAGAAACATTGACCAGCTGCCTCCTGTACACCCCCTACCAGGGATGTGCCCACAACCAATGAACATGCCCTCGACCGGAATCGAACCAGGGACCCCTCAGTCCTCAGACTAACGCTCTATTCACTGAGTAAACAGGCTCTGGCTAAACATTCATTTATTAAGTTAGCATGCAAGAAAGGAGATCTAAAGAACTACTGTTCTCATAATTTTTAATTCAAACTGACAGGTTCTCAGATTGTTAGACTCTGCAGTCAGGAATCAGAAGGAAGCTCTTCCAAGCTTTACTTCAGCTCAGTGGCTCCCCCTTCTAAACAGAAGAGGTGGGTGGGACCAGACACACGCCAGTCCATTTATCACTCAGTTACTGTCTCACCCAATACTCACTGTGATGTGATTGTAGATAAGCTGAGACCACCCGAAGAGGTCTGCCAGTCTGTAGAATGCTGCCAATTTGCACCGCAGTAACTTCTCCCCTTTGTCATAGGCAATAGAATCAGATCCTCTCAGGTCGTTCACAGGAGTCACCATACCAAGACCTGAAATAAAGAAACACAAAGCACAAAGATTTAGTATGTCTTACCAAAAGTAAATCAAATAGTAACAGTTCTGAGATATTCCTCTTCCATACTACACCATAAAGTCAGTCTTAAAAACAATTTCATAAAGACCATATTCTCCAACATTACTATAATTAAGTTGAAATCAATTAACAAAAAGGCAGCAAAATAGGTAGGATGCAATAAAGCAATGCTCAGAAGGAAAGTTACAGAATTAAACATTTATTTTTTAAGAAGTTTTTTTAAAAAATAATCTAAGTTTCTACCTTATGAAACTAGAAAGAGTAAATTAAATCCAAGATTAATAGAAAATAGGAATAATAAAAGTAAAAGCAGATCTCAAACAGAAAAATAATAGAGAAAATCATTTAGTCTTGAGATTAAAAATGAAACCCTAGCTGATACCGGTTTGGCTCAATGGATGGAGCGTCGGCTTGGGGACTGAAGGGTCCCGGGTTCGATTCCAGTCAAGGGCATGTACCTTGGTTGTGGACACATCCCCAGTAGGGGGTGTGCAAGAGGCAGCTGATCGATGACTCTCTCTCATCGATATTTCTAACTCTGTATCTCTCTCCCTTCCTCTCTGTACAAAATCAATAAAATATATATTTTTTAAAAAATGAAACCCTATATAATAAAGAATTAATATACAAATGGACCCTCACACCCTCACAAGATGGCTGCCTACAACCAGGCAGGCAGGTGGGTTAGTGAGGGACCACCAAACAACTGAACAAGCAGGCTGCATGGGGCAACCAGGCCAGCAGGGAGCAGTTGGGGATGACCAGGCCAGCAGGTGGGGGCAGTTAGGGGCAACCAGGCCAGAAAGGGGGGGGGGGGGCAGTAAGAGGTCACCAGGCTGGCGGGGGGAGGGGGGAAGGGGGAGGAAGGGGGCAGTTAAGGGCAACCAGGCCGAAGCCGATTTGGCTTAGTGGTAGAGCGTCGGTCTGCGGACTGAAAGGTCCCAGGTTCGATTCCAGGCAAGGACATGTACATTGGTTGCGGGCACATTCCTGGTAGGGAGTGTGCAAGAGAGGTAGCTGGTCGATGTTTCTCTCTCATCGACTTTTCTAGCTCTCTATCTCTCTCCCTTCCTCTCTGTAAAAAATCAATAAAATATATTAAAAAAAAAAAAAAGGGGGCAACCAGGCCAGCAGATGGGGGGGTGCAGTTGGGGGCAACCAGGCCAGCAGATGGGGGGGTGCAGTTGGGGGCAACCAGGCCAGCGGGGAGTGGGGAGGCAGTAAGGAGTGACCAGGCCAGCGAGGTGGGGAGTAGTTAGGAATAATCAGGCCGGCAGGGGAGCCAGTTAGGGGTGACCAGGTTGGCGCGGGGCGGGGAGGGGGCACGGCGGCGCAGTAAGGGGTGACCAAGGCAGGCAGGCAGGTGAGCGATTAGGAGCCAGCGGTTCAGGGTTGTTAAAGGGATGTCCCAGATTGGAGGGTGCAGTCTGGGCTGAGGGACCCTCCCACCCCAGCACCATGCATGAATTTCGTGCACTGGGCCTCTAGTAAAATAATGAAAACAAAATAAAATATGCCTCCAGACTCACCAACAAAACACAGCATGCTATAAATTACCAGCTGGAGAAGTGGAGAGGGGCCATCCTACACATCTTTCAGACATTTTAAGAATAAAGGGCCCTGGTCGGTGTGGCTCAGTTGGGTTGCCGGTTGATTTCCAATCAGGACACATGCCTGGGTTTCAGGCTCAATCTCCAGCAGGGGTGTGGAGGAGGCAGCCGATTGATGTTTTTCTCACCTCAATGTTTCTCTCTCTCTTTCCCTCTCCCTTCCTCTTTCTAAAATAAAAAAAAAAAAAACATTAAAAAAAAAAAAAAGATAAAGGGGTAATATGAATAACTAAGATAAAGGGGCAATATGAATAAGTATGCCAGCAAATTTTTTAACTTAGATAAAATAAAATAGACAAATTGCTAAGAGACACAAGCCACCAAAGCTCACTCCATGAGAAACAGATATTCTGAATAGCCCTATTTTCAGACCCAAATGACTTCACTGTGGATTCTATCACACGTGTAAGAAATAATAATACCAGTTCCACACACACTCTCCCAGAGCCCTTTCCAGCTGATTCTGCCGGCCCAGCTTTACCTTCACCAAACCACACACAGATATGACATTACAAAAAAGGACAGACCAGTATTTCTCATGAACACAGACAAAAAATTACTTAACAAAAGTTTAGCAAATAACCCAGCAATACATGAAAAGAACACACCATGACTAGGGGGGTTATCTCAAGAATGCAAGGTTGGTTCAGCATTCAGAAACTAATCAATATATTTACCATATCAAACTGAAGAGGGAAAGCATGGAATCATTTTAGTAGATGCAGAACAAGCATTTCAGCATCCATTCAGGATAAAGGCTCTCAGCATGTTAGAAATAGAAGGAACATCCTCAACTCGACAAGGAACATGGGCACAGCCGACCACTACCATCAAACCTCACGAGGAAAGGTGGATGTTTTCCTAAGGTCAGGAACAAAACTGCTTTTCAATCTTCTTAAGTCTCTACCACAACCCCACACAAAACTAACGAGAGCAACGAGGGATAACAAAACCCAAACCCAAAGACGATCTCTACAACAAACAGGTAACGACAAGGTAAGCCCACCGACCAGAAAATACAAGGGGCAGAGGGCATGACATCAGCATGGACCACTGGCCACACCTGAGACTCCCAAAAGAACCACCAAGAACTCATAGGGCTCTACCTGGTATAGCTCAGAGGATAGAGCATTGGCCTGAGGACTAAAGGTCCAGGGTTTGATTCTGGTCAAGGGCACATACCTACCTTGCAGGCTTGGCAACCGATCAATGCTTCTCTCGCGTCAATGTTTCTCTCATTGTCTCTCACTGTCCCTTCAACTCCTTCTAAAAATCACTGGGAAATATCCTCAGGGGAGGAGGATCAATCAATCAGTAAAAGAACTCACTAGGAAGCTCAGAGGGCCAGGTTCAGAAGGGCAGCTGAAATCAGGAGGAGCTCCGCACACTTTAGTCCACACTAACTGTCCACAACTGTTCAGGACAAAGTCTCACACTAAGAAATTTGTAGAAATCAAAACCCAAACTGAGTACCACAGACCATCAAGAGAAAAGAAAAGGGGGGAAGATCGGGAGAAAAGCACTGGAGGGGAACAGAACCAGATTTCATTAAATCAGCTGCCATTTTCCAGCACTTCACAAACACAAAACAAAAGGGCGCTCTAGAGCCATGACTTTGGAAAAACTTTCCTGCGCAACGCTCCTCCAGGAAAACTGATTTCATGTAAAAACAAACAAAAAATAGCATGCTCACACCATACAAAAGAAATTATACAAAAAGGGCAGAATCACATCCCTACAGACAACAAAAGCACACAAGAACATGCGTCCACAAAACAATGAAAATGATAACCTACTATTTCATAACAAGGTAGAGAAAGGCATACATAACGAAAGTGAAAAACACATTTAACATTTAAGATAATTAGAAAAATAAATAAATAAAAAATATTTTTTAAATTATTTGCTAAACAAAAAGGTGAAGAAAAACGAAAAATAATTTTTTTAAAATCAAGGAAGTGAAAGAGATAAAAAGGATTTGAGAAAAAAAAAGGATCCAAGATGGCTGCTCGGGTAGACATCTAACCGCGCAGCACACAACAATTTCAATGGAATACAACTAAAATGTAGAGTGGACATTGCCCAGAGCTACAGGTAGTCGACTGACTGAAAATTCTACAACAAGAAGGAAAGAGAAAACCAGAAGGAAAATCAGAGGAGCTGAAAAAAAGCCTAAGGTACGGAGACATGCTGCACGCCCACCCACACGTGCGCATGGAGAGGTCGCAGCCGGAGAGGAGAGGGCGGGGAGCTGCCTTGCCTTCCCTAGCAGGAAGGAAATAAAACCCCAGCCTGGGCTGAACCCCCGAACGGGCAGCGCTGAGCCCCCCGAACCGGCAGCGCTGAGCCCCAGTTATGAGCCAGACCCTGGGGACCCAGGCTCCGGCGGGAGGAGACGGGGCTGTGAGGCAGAAAAGTGGCGAAAAGCAGGGCCCCGGGAGTCGCGTGCAATGCGCGCAGAGGACTGAATGTTGACTCTGATGCTGGGCTACCCTAGCCGGAAGAAACAAGGCCTCCGGCAGCGCTGAGCCTCAGTCCGGACTGCTCCGAACCCCAGTTCTGGGCTAATCCCTGGGGACCTAGGCTCAGGCAGAGGGAGACGGGGCTGTGAGGTGGAGTCTGGGGAGAGCAGCGAAAGGCCGGGCCCCCGGGACTCACGCAAACTGCACGCATAGGACAGTCTGTTGACTCTGATGCTGGACTTCCCTAGCGGGAAGGAGAAAAAATAAGCTCCAGGCTGGGGGAACACGGAGGGGAGCGGAAGCCCCTGCCTGACTCCAGCCAACCGGGCACCAGCAAGGAGGCGGGCCACGGGGCCCCTGGGGGCGTGGGTGCCCCTGAGCCTTTGACCACTGAGCTCAGGCAATGGAGCCAAGGCCGGGGGCTGCTTCCTGGGCGGCGCCGTCCCGGCAACAGGCTGAAGCAGCGCAGGAGCCCGCGGAGAACAAAGGGGTGCCACAGGCCAACCTGCTGAGCTCCCAGGACAAGGAGGAAGAAACCAAAGAAGTTCTCAATGTGAAGAAATCAAGTGAGAGCAAAAAATAGTAAAATTACTTAAGAAAGAATACAAAGAAGATCTTGAAAAATCAAAGACTAAGTCAGAACTCAACTCACCAGCCAACATTGCAACATAAATGCGTTTTAAAAAGAAAAAAGAAAAAAAAAAGGACAGAATGTTGGAAGAGCGGCGGCCAGGCCTAGAGTGGCCAGGCACAAGGCAGTGGCAGCCAGGCCCGGAGCAGCAACGGCCAGGCCCCAGAGCAACAGCAGCCAGAACCAGAGCAGCAACAGCCAGCACTGGAGTAGCCAGACCTGGGGCAGTGGCAGCCAGGCATGAGGCGGAGGCGGCCAAGCCCAGGGTGACCAGTCCAGGAACAACCAGACCCGGAGTGGCCGGGCCCGGAGAAGCCGGGCCCAGAGCAGCCGGGGTGGGAGCAGCCAGACCCAGAACAGCAGTAGCCAAGCCCAGAGCATCCAGGTCGGGAGTAGCCAGGCTCGGAGCGGCCGGGCCCGGGGCAGCCGGGCCCAGAGCAGCCGGGTCGGGTGCGGCCAGACCTGGAGCAGTGGCTGCCAGGCTGGGAGCGGCCAGGCCCGGGGGAGCAGCCGGGGCTGGTGCGGCCAGGCCAGGAGCAGCAGCTGCCAGGCTGGGAGCGGCCAGGCCCGAGGGAGCAGGCGGGTCGGGTGCGGCCAGGCCCGGAGCAGCGGCTGCCAGGCTGGGAGCGGCCAGGCCCGGGGGAGCAGCAGCCAAGTCCAGAGCAACTAGGTCAGGAGCGGCAGTGACCAGACCCGGAGCAGCTGGTTGTGGAATGAACCAGAGCAACAGAGGCCAGGCCCTGAGCAGCCAGGCCTGGAACAGCTCGCTCCTCGCCTGCCCCTGCCCCACGGCTGCTTCTCAGACATGGCTGGAAACTTTCGCGGGAACTTGAGGGTCTGCTGAATCAAGTGATGAAGGCTTAGATCTGGATGTGTTGAGTTAGTATAGGGCTGGTGTGTTGATCTGTGAGTGCCTTGGGTGGGGCTTGGATGAGGCTGGTGGACCTATTGGGAAATGTCTTTTGTGTGAAGTGTATCATTGGGCATGTGGAGGTATTATTGATATGAGAAAATGCTAAGTAACTGATTTACTATCTGAAAAGGGATTTACTATTGGGGAAAGAGAGGGAAGAAGAGACTGAACATAAACTGCACCTATGGATGAGGACAATGGGGGATGGGGAGGGGGCAGAGGGTGGGGTGGGAACCTGGTGGAGGGGGGAAGAAATTAGGAACCTTTGTAATAATATGAACAATAAAGATTGATTTAATAAATAAATAAATAAATAAATAAATAAATAAATTGCCAGGGGGGGGGAAAAAAAAGGATTTGAGAAAAAGTGACAATTAGAGAAGACAAACCAAGAAAATCCAATATGTACATAACAAAAGCAAAGCAACAGAATAGATACTAAACACCAATTCAAGAAATTATAGCTAAAATAGCACTGGCCAGTATCGCTCAGAGGTTAGAGCATCAGCCCTTACACTGAAGGGTTGTGGGTTGGATTCCTGGTCAAGGGCAAGTACCTGGGCTTCAGGTCTGATCCCTGTTTCCAGTCTGGGCTTGGCAGGAGGTAACCAACCCTGCCTGGGCTGTGGGCTCGATCCCCAGCAGGGGACATGCAGGAGGCAGCTGATGGATGTGGATGAATTGATGTCTCTCTCTCCCTCTCCCGCCCTCTCTCTCTAAAAATCAATAAAAACATATTTTTTTAAAGAGAGATTAATAGTGAAGAGGGCGGGTGACTGTTAAATCTGTTTATACCTGTGAGGTAGTTATAAAGGTGTTTACCTTAAAACCATGCGTGAGATATGTCATTTGTTCTATGCCATCTTTATATGTTATACTTTACAAAAACAGTTAAAATTTGTTTCTAAATTTAGATTTCTTTCTTCCTTTCTTTTTGTGGAATGACATTCTTAAAATTTCCTTTACCTCTGATTAGAAGACAATATACAAGTAACTATATTACATTATTCTTTTCTTATCTAATTCGTAAGAAATGTCACTGGACTCCATTCAGAACCCCTGTGAAAACCTTCCTTACTACCATTGGACCTCAAGAGGGAGTTTGAGCTGGTAAGTTAAACGTCTCTAGACATCAGTGAGATATGACTCTGGTGAGTGTCAGTCCACCTCTAAGAACACCTGAGGACGGACAGGCAAACAGCAAACAAATGCCAGGAGACCTAACGGAAACCAAGACCTGATGTTGGTCACTTAGAAGCAGACCATCCACTAGAACCCACAGAGGTTACATTAGCAGATGCTCCAGTGACCCTGGGCTCCATCTTTGCACAACTAACCATTCTTTGCTCACATTCTCACTTGCACCCAATAAATCTATCATTTTCCCTCTGGCTTTCTTTTGGAATTTTTCTGTTTCTCATGTATTTGCAAACAGCAGTAAGGAATGGTGGGTAAGAAACATTGGTCTGCCTGAAATGAGTTCAGGCAAAATCAATGTGCTATTTACAACCATTATTTCTACTTAGTTTAATTCACACAGGGTCTGAGAAGCCACATAAAAAGTCATGTGGCCCAGCCAGTGTGGCTCAGTGGTTAAGTGTTGACCTATGAACCAGGAGGTTACTGTTTGATTCCTGGTTAGGGCACATGCCCAGGATGCAGGCTCGATCCCCAGTGTGGGGCATACAATAGACAACCAATCAATAATTCTCTCTCATCAATGATTTTTCTCTCTCCCTCTCCCTTCTTCCCTGAAATCTCTCTCCTTTCCTCCCTCCCTCTCCCTATCCCTCTCCCTCTCCCTCTCCTCTCCCTCTCCCTCTCCCTCTTCCTCTCCTTCTCTCTCTTTCTCTCTCTCTCTATTTATATTTATACACACACACACACACACACACACACACACACATACTGAGTGGCCAGATTATTATATCTCTGAAGGCATAATAATCTGGCCACTCAGTGTGTGTGTGTGTGTGTGTGTGTGTGTGTGTGTGTGTGTGTGTGAGTGTGTGTGTGTGTGTGTGTTAGAGGCCCGGTGCATTAATTCGTGCATGGGTGGTGTCTGGCCAGCCTGGCCAGGGGAGGGAACATGGGTGGTTGGCTGGCCTGCCTGCTGGTAGAACTCCTGGTCAAGGGGACAATTTGCATATTAGCCTTTATTATATAGGATATACACTGAGTGGCCAGATTATTATGCGTTCAGTGTGTGTGTGTGTGTGTGTGTGTGTGTGTAAAAGTCATTTGCCTGAAAAATAAGTCTCATTGGCTCATAAAAGAGAAGCCCCCTCTATCAAGACGTTTTCAGGCTTACAGCCTATTTTTCACTAAAACACATTAATTTTCAAAAAACTCCATTCTATACATGACATGTATTTCAGGAAATGTTTCCTGGGAAATGACAGACGTGCAGAGCCACGAGGTACTCACTCATATTCAAGGCAGCCATCCCTCCTTGCGGGGCGGCCGGGTAGACGCTCGGAGCATTCGTGGTCATGAAGTCCGCAATCTGCTGCAATGCCAGCAGGCCGGTGGGGTTTTTCCCCTTCTTAAACTGCTCCTGGATCATCGACTCCAACTCTTCACAGAAAGCCTGGTAACGGCAAATCCCACACTGAGACGCCATTGCCTTTGTTTCTTGAGAAGGCAAGGGTAACTTTCACGCAGACTGAGCTGCTGCTTGTTTTCATCCAGTCCTAGGAAGGTGGCGGATCCTCTCATATACAAATACTTGAGGTAAAAAATTGGTACATTCTTTCTGGAAGGAATTTAACAATATAAACGCTTAACAATGTGAGCAAGCGTCCTATTCCTAGGAACCCTTTCTTAGGAAATACCTAGGGATGTGATCAAGACTCATCTGTAAGGATGTTCCTCGCAGCAGCGCTGACAGAGGCAAACAGGTGAATCCACAGGCGAAGCTGCAGAAGACTAAAAACCCACGGACCCACCTGACCGGCAGTCACCAGCCTCTCGGACCTCGCGGACCACGACGGCGACCGCTGCAGCTGACAATGGAATGCTATGTGCTTTCAACGTGAAAGACCACGTAAATGGCATGAACATACTCTTGATACGTATTGGAGTTAAAAGGTTTTAAAGAGCCGAAACCGGTTTGGCTCAGTAAATAGAGTGTCGGCCTGTGGACTGAAAGGTCCCAGGTTCGATTCCAGTCAAAGGCATGTGCCTTGGTTGCAGGCACATCCCCAGGAGGGGGTGTGCAAGAGGCAGCTGATCGATGATTCTCTCTTACCGATGTTTCTAACTCTATCCTTCTCTCTTCCTCTCTGTAAAAAATTAATAAAAAAATATTTTTTTAAAATGGTTATAAAGAACACACATGCCTCTTTTATAAGAGCAGGTGCATATGTAAACACAGAAAGACTAAAATACATCAAAATGCTCATTGTAATTCTGTGACAGAATCATTAGTAATTTTCATGTTCTACTTTACGCTTCTCAGTATTTTCTTCATAATACATATTTAAAATTGACCTTAAAAAGAAACCCTAAAATACTCATCCTTTATTTAAAAAAATCCTAAATTAGGCAGAAAGGTTAATAAGTTGGGTTGATGGAAATTTTAACATGAAATCACTATTGAAATACACATAATTTATAATTTCCCCAAAAACTATTATAATTTTTCATATATCCTATAAAGAAATATCTTCAAATAATTATAAATAACATTTAATGTGAAAGTCTGAGTTCACTGGTCACCCAGGCCTGATTATAAGCACTCCAAGGGCCGCTGTGCGGTTCTATGTGAACCTTACTTCTAGTCTGTCGCTTGAGCTGAGGCGATGGATGGCGAAGGGACAGACTAAGTACGCCTGGCACTTGAGGGAAGCAAACAAAAGCAAACGCCGTGGCATTAATTCAGTGCCATAAAAGAATGCCAAGAGCCAGGAGCCCTGCCTACCAACCATGCTCCCTAATGCCATCCATTACCTTCCGCGGTAGTGAAGGAGGGAGGGGGAGCTGCAGGGCCTTTGACTACAAGGAAAAGCTGTGTCACTGACACACGGTTCTGGGCTACCTCTGATGGCCGTGCAGACGGCAGGGACCCAGACAGACATGCCCAGCAGTAGGCAAGGAGACACTCAGACAGATGGCCCACTAACCCTCAGAGCATGCTGGGCACAGGGCATGCAAAAGCTAAATTAAACAGATCCCTGCCCTCAGGGGCTCTCCATCTGAAAAACCAATCTATTCCCATGGCTTTCAAATCCACATACAGCTCTAAGGGAAGCTCAATTCAACATACACTAAACATGCACTACACACACTACACTCTGCTCCAGGACGCCATGCTGCACTGCGTAACTGTGCAGGAACTTGACTGTCTGCACAGAGCCTGACACTCCGTCCCTAGGAATTTGTTGTTTTTATGTAGGAACACTGTTCAAGCCAAAAGTCTAGATGTGGCACTGATTCCTTTTCCTCCTCACCTCTTCCTCTTATTGATCCCACATTCAAAATAAAACTCAAACGAGTCTCCCCCTCTCCCCCTCTCCACCAGCACCCTTACCAAGCCACACCCCTCTTGCCTGGAAGACGCTGTCTCCCTTGCCCCACAGGAGCACGCTCTTGCCTACACCGGAACCAGGCTGAGTTGGGTAAAAGCTGAGTCGCCTCTTTCCTGCCTGCAGCCTCCAGTAACTGCTGTGCTCCGAGAGCAACACGAGCCCTGACGTGAGCTTCCCCAGCCTCCAGGACCCGCTCCCTCCTCCCTCTCCCTCCTGCTGCAGTTTTCCTGGTGAGGACATTGTCCTTCCCGCCCTCCTCTGCTCACACACACTGGAGCCCACCAATGCCCTGGTCCTGGGGATGCTCCTCCCTCACCCTGGAATGCTCCTCCCCGTGCCCCCTGCACAGCAGCTAGCTCCTTCCCCTGGCTGAGTTCAGATTCACCTTCCTTCCTCAGACAGGCTTCAATAAGAGAAAGAGGAAGAGGAAGAAGGAAAAAGATAAAAAATATGGACAATAAAATGGCAACAAATAAACATCTATCAACAACTAAATCTAAATGTCAAAATAAATGAACAATGAACAAAATAAACTAATGAATAAAACAGAACCAGCCAGAGGCATGGCAACATGGAACAGAACAGCAGCGGTGAGAATCGCTAATGGGTCACCTAAGACCATCGGGAAACACAGACATTTACATTACAATTCATAACAGTAGCAAAATTACATTATAAAGTAGCAACAAAAATAATTTTATGGCTGTAAAAAATACATGAGGAGCTGTATTAAAGGGTCCCGGCATTAGAAAGGTTGAGAACCACTGACATAAGAGATAATAAACATTAATAAAAAATTCAGTGACTATCTGCCAATGGTATGCCACAATATTAAGGTGACCAGACATCCCGCTTTTTAACAATTTGTTCCGCGTCCCACGCGTTTTTAAAAAGTCCCAATTTTGGGAAAGATTCTTTTAAATCCCTTGGACTTTTTAAAAATGCCGCGGGATGTGGGGCAAATTGTTAAAAATCGGGACTGTCCCACCAAAAGCAGGACATCTGGTCACCTGATACAAGATTAAGATAGTAACGTAAGGACAGATCCGCGGAATGCGGCACACAGGGCAGCAGCGTCCCCAGGAGGAAAGATAAGACAGCTCCTTGCCTAGAGACCCAAACAGAAGACACTTTGGTGTGTGTGACGGTGGTTCAAAAGCTGACCAATCAGTAAACCAGGCACTGCCGAGGCCTACCATGTGCCCGGCACCCAGCTAGGTACTGTGGAGGAAACAGCAATTTTTAAAAGGTGCCAATAAATAAAGATTCTAAGAAGCAGGGAGAGTAAAAGGGAGAAATAAACACCTGCTACCCTTTAGGACACAAAAGATTTCCCCCATTGTCTGGTAACTTGAACTACACAGAATTCTTTCAACAGCAAACACACTATACATAGGAGCACTGATTTCCTGTGTTCGGACCACGTGACCATGACACAACAGCGGTCAGAGGGCAGCACTGGGGAAGGGAGAGGTGCTGGAGGAGAAGCCGCTCTTACAGGGCTCTGCAGGATCATGGACACTCTCTTCTTCTGCTCCATCATGTTGAAGTCCTGGCGAAGGTCAGGTGCCATGTTCCTCTCCCGCAGGTACTCTGGGTTGTTCTCATCCACCCTGTCGAAGTACCTCTCTTTGTGAGGGGCTGTGGTCGGGGGTGGTGAGGTCACCACTGCAGCCTGAGTGTCACCATTCATGGTAGAATCTTCTAGGTTCCTACGGAATAAAAATGAAAGGAAGTATTGTTTCTGAATCAGTATTTCACAACGAGCACACCCGCCTGACAAGCACATCTGCAGCGTGAGGGCCTCGCTGCCGGCCCATCGGAGCCCTGACGTGGGAGGCTTCTTTGTGGCCCTGCCGACCAGCCCTCTCCACCCTGCACCAGCCAACGGCCTTTCTCGTCTTGCCTCGTTCTTCAGCAGCAACAGAACACTTAACAAAGCTGCTATGTTTTCTCCCAACCTGAAGGACCAGACAGTGCAAACTTGACAGGACAGTTTAAAGCCAGGACATTGTCCCACAACTGTTCTTTTCTGGAGAAATTTGATTTATGTTATTTTTCTAAGAAAGTTTCAGTAATGATTTTTCAAGATTCCCTAATAGCTCAGTAAGGGAGAAGCTGCTCACACACCTATGCACACAGGTAAGAAATGACCCTCTTCAGCACCACCTTTTTGGTTCAATAGTAGGTACCAAAATGTCAGCATGCCCTACTTTGTGAATAACCTAAAAAGTGCCCAAAGGCACAAACTCAAGTCTGCTAATATGTGCCTAGCACCAGGTACTCACTCTACATTCTTTTTAATCCCAACCTTTTATTTGAAACTAGAGGCCAGTGCACACAATTCATGCATGAGGAGGGGCCCTAGCAGCTGCTGCTGCCTGCCTTCTAAACTAAAGATCTGACAGAGATAACAGCAAGCTTAAAGTGACAGCATTTCAAGGACTGAAAAAGCATGAAAATAACAGGAGACTAAAAGTCAACACAAAATAAAAGAACTGATGACCTAAAATAAAATGTAGTCTTTAAAAGTACTGTTCTCTAAATGCTTCCTTTAAAATTTTAGTTTACTGTTTACTGTAACCTCGTTTGCTCCAAAACAACCACCCAAGAACAAAACAATAATGGTTGTCTGACATTTCTCTAAATGAAGTGAAGCTGAACATTCTGAGCCAATGATAAAATGTTCTATTTCTTTTTTGGGGGGAAGACTAAAGGATATACAGTATATTAACTTCTCTATGAAGTTAGATGAGTCCCAAAATTAAGACATTTCATCAGAACATTTAAGAAGCAACTATAACTGCTTCCTGGTTTCCAGAGCTGACTGGAAGAAAAGAAACTTTGTAAAACCAACATGTTAAAGATAAGGCAGAGGCTGCTCCGTTTTTATTACGAATTGCTGTGTGAATGGAACAAGGCAGACTGCAAACCAGATATATATGTATTTCATTCCTTTAATAAGGAAGTCTATAAACTTCAATCAAAGTACACATATTCTGAGTCCAATCATTAAAAATAAGCATTCCCACCGAAACCGGTGTGGCTCAGTGGATAGAGCGTCGGCCTGCAGACTAAAAGGTCCCAGGTTCGATTCCGGTCAAGGGCATGAACATTGGTTGCGGGCACATCCCTGATAGGGGGTGTGCAGGAGGCAGCTGGTTGATGTTTCTCTCTCATCAGCGTTTCTAGCTCTCTATTTCTCTCCCTTCCTCTCTGTGGAAAATCAATAAAATATATTTAAATAAATTAATAAATAAGCATTCCCTGGCCAGGTGCTCGGTAGATTGGAGCATCTTCCCGTACACCAAAAGGCTTTGGGTTGGATTCCCAGTCAGAGCACATACACAGGTTGCAGGTTCCATCCCCAGTCGGGAGGCAACTGATCAATGTTTCTCTTTCGCGCTCTTTCTCCCTCTCCCTCTCTCTCTCATATCAATTTTTAAAAATTTTTTCTAAAAATTCTCGGGCCCTAGCCGGTTTGGTTCAATGGACTGATAGGTCCCAGGTTCAAATCCAGTCATGGTCACATGTCCTGTTTGCAGACTCTATCCCAAGTAGGGAGCATGCAGGAGGCAGCTGATCAATTATTCTCTCTCGTCATTGATGTTTCTATCTCTTCCTCTCCCTTCCTCTCTGAAATCAATAAAAAAAAAATATTTTTTTAAAATCCTCAGGTGAGGATTTTAAAAAAGAGGTTATCTCTGATAATCTCCTTTAGAAAAATAAATGAATAAATAAGTAAACAAACAAACAATTCCATTTTTAAAATACAAAACCTATACTTGGTTTTCTGTCAGTTATGGCTTCAGGTTTCACTAACTTAATTTTAAGAGTGGGTTAAGACAGCAAATTTTTCCTAGGAAGAACTCTACAAGAAATTATTATTTAATCCAGTCTTTTTTTTTTTAATGAAAAAATACAGATATAAAAACAATTCTCTACATATGGGGCCAGGTGGGCACTTGAAATATGGGGGGACTATTCTGTAAAGTACATGATTGTCTAACCACTATGTTGTACACCTCAAACTAATACAGAATAATTGCAAACTGTAATTGAAAAAGAAAGAAGGAAGGGAGGAAGGAAGGAAGGAAGGAAGGCAGGAAGGGAAGGGGGGGGGGGGAGAAACCAACCCAGATTCAGGCTTTCAAAACAGGGTGAGGCAAAAGTAGGCTTACAGTTGTTTGTATGGAAAAATAATTCAATTAATAAATAATAATACAAAAATGAACTATGTGTTTTGAGTAATCACAACTCTAAACCTACATTTGCCCCACCCTATGTTTTCCCCACTTTGGGGTTCTTTTAATATCTGAGTAGGTTTATTTTTTTTATCTGGAAAAACAACAGATTCCATATCTGGCTTAGAACATTCTAATTAATAACTCTAAAAGAGCAACAGTTTTACTTTGTGCCATGCCAAATAACAAGATGAAATCCATCTGGAAATAAATGTTAAAAGTAGCTTTTTATTTTGCAAGAAAAAAATAATTCTGGAAACTTAATTTTTAAAATAAAAACAATCAGCCCCAGCTGGTGTGGCTCAGTGGATAAAGCCTGCAGAATGAAGGTCCCAGGTTCAATTCCAGTCAAGGGCACATGCCCAGGTTGTGGGCTCAATTCCCAGTGTGGAGCATGCAGGAGACAGCTGATCAATGCTTCTCTCTCATCACTGGTATTTCTATCTCTCTCTCCCTCTCCCTTTCTCTCTGAAATCAATAAAAATATTTTAAAAATAAAATAGAAACAACCAATGTCTAATATACATGATTTAACATAAATATTAAAATCTCAATATCATATTATAAAACTAAAGATTGTTCATTATAACATACATGAGATTACAACGTTTAAGTGAAATGTGTAAAATTTCCTATTCTATAATCTTATCAATATTATAGTTATCACACAGACAAGATTATATCATGGAAAGTGAGCTATTAAAGTTAAATAAATTGACTCAAGAAATATATAAATTGCTACGATTTTACCTGTGTAAAATTTAAAGATGTCACAAATCTTAATGTGTTAATACCTAAATCAATGAACTCTCTGGGAACAATACTCTGATATCCACACCCAACATTACCCAAAAGTCTGGATGAGCCACGCCAAACAAGCCTGGCTGCACGTGTGACGCCTCCCGTTCAGCCTCCTGTTTCCGTCCTGCCCCCACCATTCCGATCTAGCTCCTTACCACCCACCTCCTGGGGGCGCAACAGCCTCCTAACCAGTTTCTCTGCCTCTAGATCCTAACAACACCCACACCAGTCCTCTCCACAGCTAGCCAGAGGGAGGTGCAAAATCAAGGCACTCACTCACTGCATAACCTGACAGCTAGTTTCAAACAAACTGTAAAAGGAAAAATACAGAATGGCATTTGGGCTCTGGACAGCATGGCTCAGTTGGTTGGAGAGGTATACCAACCGAGGATATGCAAACAAATACTCCAAAGACTCGGGGCCACCACAGAAATGGACACACCAGCAGGGAGAGCACCTCCAGCGGTGGGCGCAAAAAGAGCAGACAGAGGGTGCTATGGCTGAATGGTGTCTCTAGAAATTGAGGAAGCTCAAACCCCCAGCACCTCAGAATGTGGCCTTCCCTGGAAAGAGTGCAGATTGCTGAGTTAGATGAGGCGTTACCACGGCATAGTGGACAGATACAAGTACAGGGAGAACGCCACAGGAAGATCAGCTGAGCGATGCGCCACAAGCCAAGGAACCCAAAGATGCCAGCCAATCAGCAGCAGCTGGGGCATGGCCTGGACCACACTCTCCCTCGGCCTCAGAATGAACCAACCCGAGACACCTGGACCTTGCACTCCAGGCTCCAGAACTGCCAGGCTAGTTTCTACTGTTTATGCCCCCAATTTGTAGTACAGTAAGCCCTCAATTTTTCAAACTCCATTTAATGGACTTAGGATTTAATGGACAAATTTTCTGGTCCATATGTCATATGTGAAAATTAACACACTGTTCATTTTATTTATTTTTTTAAATATATATTTTATTGATTTTTTACAGAGGAAGGAAGAGGGATAGAGAGCTAGAAACATCGATGAGAGAGGAACATCGACCAGCTGCTTCCTGCACATCCCCTACATGCCCTTGATTGGAATCGAACCCGGGACCTCTCAGTTCGCATGCAGACGCTCTATCCACTTAGCCAAACCAGTTTCGGCTACCCTGTTCATTTTAAAATGCTTTTAACCAACGATTTCTTATAATTAAATTAAGAAGTTATATTTTATTATTAATTCACTGTTGTTTTTTTTTGTTTTTTTTTGGGGGGGGGGGTTGTTAATCCTCACCCAAGGATTTTTTCCCACTGGTTTTTTTTTTTTTTTTTAATTTTTTTACGCCAATTTCGTTTATTGACACTATTTTAAATGTTTGCTTATTGTCTAGCAAACACTATCAGGTTATCAGGTCCTGGGCAAAAACAGAGGAAATTAAGCCTTTGATGGAATAGGTAGCCACCAAAAAAAAAGGGGGGGGGCTATTGGTGTTAACCAGAAAAGCACATGTTGAGACCTCAGCAGAAGACTTAAAGAAGACACCACCATCATGGAATAATCGGACCACGATTCCAGATTTCCTGAGGGTTAGCATCACCAAAGATAGAAGAACTAAATTGTGAAGAAAAGGTATTTTAGGTCTGGGAATACACAAAACCAATTTAATTCTG